AGTTTAATAATATATGGTGAATTTAATTTCCTAAGTACATAACATTCTGAATGAATGAAATTATGAAATTTTTATGAATCCTTTTTTTAAATCAATTCTTCTCTATAATATATTTTACCTGCATAATTAAGTGGTTAATTTGGTAAACGAATATTTGGAGTAAGTTAAATGACTTTGGAAAAACCTCCTTTAGCAATGACATCAGAGAAAGTATAGACTTAATCCAAATTTTAGATAAAAGAGAATTAAGAAAGGTTCTTGAAGAATTAAAAGGTAGATTTTCTAAAGAAGAGATAGTTAATAATCTTACTAATCATTATTCCAAATATAAATAAATATGTCTTTAGTTCTTTTGATTCTAATTACTTTTACAAGATCAGTTTTTTTATTAGAAATTTTAAGGTCTATGATTTTTAGACTGATATCTAGATTTAGTAATACATAACCCTTTGGTTTATTATTATTATGTTAATAAAATAATAATCCTTCTTAATTCAATAAAAATTGATATTCAGTAGGCTTACTACATTTCCAAGTTATTCGATTCATAGTAATTTAAGATATAATAGATTGATTAATGTTGAATTAAGGTTTTTTATTCCAAAATGATTTAGTTTAGTCGTTTTCCTGAAAAATGGGCCAATATTGGAATTGATGATCATACATTTTTAAAATTAATTAATAAGTTTTTTATATAGACTAAGTTATTATATATATATATATGATCAGAAGGGTCTTAAATTAAAATCTTAGTTTTTTAATATTATTTGATTGAAATGGGTATATGTAAATCTACTCATATTTAAAACCAAGAGGATTTGAAAATTTTATAAGCTCCTATACTTTACGTTAAGAAATCTCCTGTGTTGGGAATACATAGAATATATACAGACAATCTTCCTTAATTGAATGAGTTTAGTCATATGGATAATTAGATTAGAAGAGCTTCATATAGATATAATTAGAATGTAAATTATAATGGATAGTGGATTGGAAATAAAAGAAATGGAGTGGGTAGATTAGAATGGAAAGGTAGTATAATATAGTTAATTAGATGGAACTTATTATGAAGGTAACTGGAGGGATGATGAATTAGATGGAAATGGAAAATTTGTGAGTAATAATTTTGTGATAGAAGGTTAATGGAAGAAAAATAAATTGAACGGTTATGGTATTTATAAGGTTGATGATCTTTATAAGTATGAAGGTTATTGGTGTGAAGATTATAAACTTGGAATTGGGAAAGAATATTATGATGATGATAGTTAATATATAGGGAATTTCGATCAAAACGTAAAATCGGGTATGGGAATATATATTTGGGATGATGGAAGCAAATATGAAGGGATGTTTAAATAAGATAGTTTTAATGGTATAGGAGAATTGAAATGGGCAAATGGAAGTTGGTATAAAGGTGAATTTATGAATAATTATTTACATGGACAAGGATATTATCAATGGAATGATGGTAGAAGATATGAAGGTAATTATGTGTATGATTATAAAAATGGATATGGAAAATATTTCTGGGAAGATAATTAAAAATATGAAGGTTATTGGAAGAATGATAAATGGAATGGTCATGGAATATTAAATAAATCAGGTTGTGTCATAGAAGGAGAATGGATTCAAGGTAAATTGTAAATTATTAAATGATTATTTATATATTTTAATGCAATATAAATCATATATAGATCCTTATCTAAATAAACAAATCAACATTCAAAAACCTTATCTACATAGAAGTCCTAGTTTTCATAACCCTATCTAAAATTGTATCTTATTTATATTTATAATGATTAGCAATATTATGTAAGAGCATCTCTGAATAGAAACTCAAACTCTCGATTGATCAAGAGAGTCAGACCAAATAAAACAATATTGGATAATCCCAATGGGAGAAGTATCTCCATCATGCCTAAACTTTAGGATTGGATCCAAATTACCAAAAAGAGTGTAACTTCAATATAGAGAAATCATCAAACCTAAATAATTTGAAATCAATCTTTCTCAACCTCGAATTCACAGTCCAAATGTCAATTAAAGATTCAATAGATCTTTTTATATGGGTCTTCAAGAAATTAATTCATCATCCTTAAAAAGGCCTCTCTTAAATCTTACTAGTACTGTTATTATGGTATTTCTATTATTAATTAAAATTTAGATCTAAGATAGTACATAAGCAACTTCAGAACTTCAAACATAGAAAATATAATAGAAATTTAGACATAATTTTATTTTCCATTATATTATTGGATCTGGAGGATTTGGTAATGTTTGGAAAGTTGAATCAAAAAAAACTAGAATGATATATGCAATGAAAGAACTAAAAAAAACAAAGTATTTTTGATATCTTATTGAGAATTTTAGCTAAAAAATCTGTAAAATCTGTTATGAATGAAAAGTAGCTGTTATAAAAACTTAAGAATCCTTTTATTATTAATATGGTAGGATCATTTTAAGATAAAGATCATTTATATCTAATCCTTGATTATTTATCAGGAGGTGATCTTAGATATCATATATTACTTAATAAAACATTTAGAGAAGAATAAATTAGTATATATTTATATATATAAAAATATTATAGAATTTTTTGTAGCTTGTATAATTCTTGGATTAGAATACATAAATTCTTATTAAGTTATTCATAGAGATCTAAAACCTGAAAATTTAGTATTGGATTGTAAAGGATATTTGAAAATAACAGATTTTGGAATTGCTAGATATTATAAAAATGAAAATAGTAATGAAACAAGTGGTACTCCTGGATATATGGCACCTGAAATAATACTAAAATAAAATTATAATTATTGTGTTGATTATTATGCAATAGGTGTTATTTGTTATGAAATGATAACTGGTAAAAGACCATATTTAGGTAGAACAAAAAAAGAAATACGTGATGAAATGTTAGGAAAATAAGCTTAATTAAATGCCAAAGAATATTTATAATATTCATGTAATCTAATAGAATTTACAAATAAATTACTTGTGAGAAAATAATAAAATCGTTTAGGTTATTAAAATGGGATTAAAGAACTAAAAAATCATAAATTATTTCATACATTTTAATGGGAAAAATTGATAAATAAAACAATGATTGCTCCATATCAACCTAAATAAGAAGATAGGAATAGACCATATCAAAAAACTAGTGATTCACAATAAACATTATTTAATGAATAACTTAAATAACTTAAATTTAAAGAAATCTAAATGCTTTTTGATGGATATACATATTAAACTGAAGATAAGATTATTTGACTATAAATTCTATTATCAATTTAATCTGTATATATAAATAAAATTCATAATTAAATAGATTAAAATGAAGAACTACCAACTTCTTAATAAACTCTCACTAAATCTTCATTATTCTTATAATTATTTAATTTTCCTTTACTTAATAAATTAAAATCTTCCTTATCAAAATGATAATCAATTTATTCTCTATTTCCATTAATCTTTATCATAGTAATTGAATTATCAACACCTTAATCACAATTAATTAATTTTATATCTTCTTTTGCCTATATACCATATTAATGTGTATTATATAATTAATTTCTTCCAAAATGATGTATTAGAAATAATTAAATTCTAGACAATTCATATAATATATTAATATAAACTAATTTCTTTTTAGCTTATTCTATTAATTCTTTACATATTTTTATATCTCCTTTTTCTTTTGATTTTTTTAATTCTGAATAATCTAAAAAATAAAAACCCAAAATCTTATCAATAACATCAAAATCCAATAATTATTCATTATAATAACTTAGTAGATATTAAATAGTCATTAACATACTCATTATTGATCCTACTTAAGCAAGTATTTCTCCTAATTTTGGATATACAATTTAAGTATCAATAGACATTGGATCAAGTCGTATAAATAAATTAAGATATGAATTCTTAACTAATAGAGTAGACCAAAATTGATTAGATGTTGCACTTGTTATTAATTAAGCATTGTATATAAAGCTTTTTGATTCATAATTACTAAATAAAATACCAGTATCTATGGTAGCTTAAGTTTAAGTAAGTATTAATTAACCTTAATGAGAGATTTAAGAGTCAAAAGTTAAATAATATTGTTTTTTTACAACTTAGAATTTTTAAGTATATGAATCATATTACTTTAAATTCAACCAAAAACTGATATAATTTACAGATTTTTCAAAGAATTCTTTAATTTCTTAATCAGATGCACATTCATAACCACTATTCAATAGAGTGATATTACATGAAGTTATTACTATCATTAATTCTGTAGTATCATTTAAATCATTATCAAAACCACTATTTTGAACTAAAGAAAGATTATCAACTCTTAATAGATTTGTATTATAAGGTGATATTGTTTATGATTAATTTAATAGAGAGAATGGTTTTTAAGGAATACCATTAATAAAGTAAATTCCAATAGGAGTTAAAATATTATTTTATAATCTAAATGGATCAACTTATTCTTCACTATACTTCCAATAACAAAATTCAAATAAAGCATCTTCATTATATAAAATTTAAGAGTAATTCTGAACTTTCATTAAGTTAGTTGAATTTGGTAATATTTTGGAACTCCACCATTCATTCATTACATATATAAAATAACTTAAACTAGCTCCTAATACAATAATTGAACATATTCCACTTAGAATAGACTTTTATTCTTTTTAATCTAAAGATATCTATTATTTATATTAAACACCAAAGATATCAATCATTTTAATGTATTTCATTTTGAATATATGTATTATTTTTAATTATGTCCTAAATATGTTATGTAAATTAGAAAAAGACACATTTTAGAAAATAAAAAAAATGATTTTTAATTAATTTATTATATGACATAAAGAGAAGAGGTATTTATATATATTATTTAATAATAATAAGACACCATATTTCAGAGATTGTTAAAAATTAGGTGGTATTCAATAGAAAGACATTTATCTATCTCCAACAAAAGCAGCAACATATTTGTATCTACTTAATCATGTAAATAAATATATAGTATATTATAGTGTGATAAAAGTATTNTATTAAATAGTCATTAACATACTCATTATTGATCCTACTTAAGCAAGTATTTCTCCTAATTTTGGATATACAATTTAAGTATCAATAGACATTGGATCAAGTCGTATAAATAAATTAAGATATGAATTCTTAACTAATAGAGTAGACCAAAATTGATTAGATGTTGCACTTGTTATTAATTAAGCATTGTATATAAAGCTTTTTGATTCATAATTACTAAATAAAATACCAGTATCTATGGTAGCTTAAGTTTAAGTAAGTATTAATTAACCTTAATGAGAGATTTAAGAGTCAAAAGTTAAATAATATTGTTTTTTTACAACTTAGAATTTTTAAGTATATGAATCATATTACTTTAAATTCAACCAAAAACTGATATAATTTACAGATTTTTCAAAGAATTCTTTAATTTCTTAATCAGATGCACATTCATAACCACTATTCAATAGAGTGATATTACATGAAGTTATTACTATCATTAATTCTGTAGTATCATTTAAATCATTATCAAAACCACTATTTTGAACTAAAGAAAGATTATCAACTCTTAATAGATTTGTATTATAAGGTGATATTGTTTATGATTAATTTAATAGAGAGAATGGTTTTTAAGGAATACCATTAATAAAGTAAATTCCAATAGGAGTTAAAATATTATTTTATAATCTAAATGGATCAACTTATTCTTCACTATACTTCCAATAACAAAATTCAAATAAAGCATCTTCATTATATAAAATTTAAGAGTAATTCTGAACTTTCATTAAGTTAGTTGAATTTGGTAATATTTTGGAACTCCACCATTCATTCATTACATATATAAAATAACTTAAACTAGCTCCTAATACAATAATTGAACATATTCCACTTAGAATAGACTTTTATTCTTTTTAATCTAAAGATATCTATTATTTATATTAAACACCAAAGATATCAATCATTTTAATGTATTTCATTTTGAATATATGTATTATTTTTAATTATGTCCTAAATATGTTATGTAAATTAGAAAAAGACACATTTTAGAAAATAAAAAAAATGATTTTTAATTAATTTATTATATGACATAAAGAGAAGAGGTATTTATATATATTATTTAATAATAATAAGACACCATATTTCAGAGATTGTTAAAAATTAGGTGGTATTCAATAGAAAGACATTTATCTATCTCCAACAAAAGCAGCAACATATTTGTATCTACTTAATCATGTAAATAAATATATAGTATATTATAGTGTGATAAAAGTATTGCTATGTAATTTGCAAAAAGACGTGTATGTAAATGGGATACAACAATCGAATAGGATGGACCTGCCAGTTGTAGAATTCTTGTTCCAGTTTAAAAAAGAGAAGTATAGATTAAAATAATAATTTAGAAATGTATTAATGGTTGGCAGAATGTAGGATATGAAGTATTTTATTAGAACAAGGATACAATTGCAGATTAAAAATAATTAAATTTAGATTATGAAAATGATGAAATCTAATAGTAATTAGAGAATAATGAAAGAATGCTCACAAATGATTTTAAATATTAGATGAAGAATTTAGCTAAGTTCTATAAAGAATTAAATTAAAAATATAGATTGAATATTTAGGATTCTGATTTTAAAGAAAGAGTTTAAAAAGCAAAGGAATAATTATAGAGATAAAGAAATAAACCGTTGTAATATTTTAAGAAAGATGGTGTTAAATTCGTAGAATTATTACATGAACTTAATTAAGCAGATAAGCGTTAACATACATTATTAGAAAGATTTAAAGCATTTAATCAATTAAAAGCATCTCAATTTAGAATCAAAGAAAAATTACCTGAAAAACTTTACAATAAAACAACAAATGATGAAGATTCAACTCCTATGAATAGAAATAAATTATTAAAGAAATCTTGTAAATTTTTAGGTTAAACAAGTAGAAATGTTACAGATACATTAAAAATGAAATTTCAATTAAAAGATAAATCTTATCATATGTCTAAATAATTCGATAATTATACTCCTAATCTCCTTAAAGTATAATCATAATCATCAATATCTTTTCATAAAAAGAATAAAACAGATAATGAAGAATATCTTGATTTATAACTTAAAAAATTCGCAAATAGAATGATATAACCTTAATCTAATGTTTAAGAAATTAATACTGAAAATATTAACAGATTAATTGAAGTAAATATTATAAAATAAATAAAAAGAATAAATCTAATTTAAAGTAATTATGTTTAAAAAAGATATAATCCAAAGCCTTATTAACTTAATCAGAACATCGTAGTAAAACAGAAAGATTAGAATCTGATTGTAATGCTCTATTTACTTCAAGATCAAGAGATAAAGATTCTACAAAAGCATCTATTATTTTTAAAAGATCTTAATTATTAACATCTTTTACAAATAAATCAGATTGTATTAAATGATGATTTTTATTTATAAAATATAATTCAAAACCAAATATTTTTCAAATTAATTCATAAATAAATTTTATTATTATTATTAAATATAATGTACAATTCAAGATCCTAAGTCTCATGTATTAATTTAAATTGACCATTTTTAGATCCCTAAGCATCACCTTCAAGTGGTAGAATTCAAAAGATCTCAGAGAAATTATCCACAATTTAAATTGGAGTAGAAAATGAGAGATTTTAAAAACTTGAATAAGCTGAATAAAGAATTTAATAAGCTGAAGATGCATTCAATGAATTTTAAGAATAAATCTTTACTAAATTAAATGGATTAAGAGATTAAGTAATTTATTATACTTATATTTGTTTAGTTAGGAAAATTATAAAAACAAGTAGAAGAAGATAAATTGGCTAAAGAATAAGCTAATGAAACTAAAAACAGAGAAGTTTAAGCATTAGAAAAGAAATTTGAAAATGCTATTCAAAATGAAACATAAACAAGAAAAGAAGGAGAAACTAAAGTATTAAGATTATTGGAAGATAAAACAGCATTATTGAGAACTGAAGTATAAAAGGAAACAGCATCTAGAGTTGATGCTATTGAAGGAATTCATTAAGGATTATAAAATGATTTACCTAAAATCTAAGAAGCCATTAGAAATGAAGCCAATGAAAGAGATGAATCAGATTAGAATGTAATTATATATATATTAACATTTAGGTTATGAAATCCATTACTGATGAGTTAGTAAAGTTAAGTAATCTCATCAATGTTGAAAAAAGAAATAGAGATGAAAGTGAATAATCTATATTTGAAATGCTTAAAGATATTGTTAATAGAGTAAAAGTAGAATTAGATTAAGAAAAGAAAACAAGGTAATATTAATTATATAATTAATAGAGAATAATCTGAAGAACATTTATTAAGTTTATTAGAAGATACTTGTAATAAACTCAGTATTGCAGCAAATCTATGATATTGAAATAAATACAAAATATAAAATAAATATATATTATTATGCAATATAACTAATTTGATACAAATTTGACTCCTATATAAAGATTAACACTCTTTCATGATGGATCAATGACTAAATTTTTAGAATTATATTTTGCTGAAAATGTTTAAACATAAGTCATTAAAGAATCTAATCAATTTTATGATGATTATTTGTATGATTGGAAATAATTCATACCTGATGCTTAAATATAAAGAGAAGTTATATTGAAGAATTAATCTTAAGGAAATCTCATATATGCAAGATCATTATGGACTAAACTTAATTATGATAAAATTATGTAAGGCAATTAAAATAATGCTATTGGCAAGAATCTTGAAAAAAAATAAATATCATAAAGAAGATAAATTTTAATTGGTTGTTTATCTAAATTACCAAAATCAAGTAATTTACCAATTAAAGATGTTTTAAGTAGAGCCTATCTTATTTATTAAGAAAATGATCTTCTAATGTATATTGAAGAATATATGTTATTTTGATAATTTATATTTTTAATGTTTTAACAGCATAATAATACTATTTCAACATCTCGTTCTAATTCTTCTATTAATTAAACTCCAAGAAGATTAATACGTGTTGCCACTCCTTCTGGTATTGACAAAACAAGTGCTATTAAAAAGAATGAAGAATTTCATAATTAATAAATAGACTTATATAAATAAAGAGAATCTCATTACAAGAAAATTATTTTTGCAAAAGATTAAGAAATATCAATGATGAAATCACATATTTAATAATTAGAAGAAAGTAATATTTAATTTAATTATAGATATCAATCAGAATAATCTTTCCAATCAAATATAAAAATAAATTTAAGATTTAACTTAATAAGTGCAAATATTGTTAGAATCATATAAGTATTATTCTAAATTATAGATTTAGTTAAAGAATTCTAGAAATTGAAAATCTTAAAAAATCATAAGGTCATGATCATACTGAATTAGAAAGACAAGTCTTATAATTATTAAGAGAGAATTCTTAATTAATGAATAGTCTAACTGTTTCTCATACTTATTAAGATATTTAATCAAAAAAGAATAGTTTATAAAATATATCCAAAATTCATCCAACAGAAACTTCTTGGAAATAAAAATTTATTAAATTGAATAAAGAATATTATGAATTATAAGAAAAATATGCCTTTTTAACAGCTGAATTAGACAATAACAGATTTAACTTTCGTTCTCCTAGTCTAGAAAGCTTTGAAGCTATTATTAGATAATGACTATTTTTAAACTTAATTTTATTATCATTTTAGTTTTCATAAAATAATATTATTGTTATGAACAAGTAATAAATCATATTAAATAGTCTTATCTAAAATAATATTTATATTTTTATAAATATTAATAAATCAATATTTATCATTTTTCTATTAATTTAATCTTTTCTTCTTTCTATTTAATAATATCAATATCAAAAATAAATTAACAAATAGTATTTCAAGTTTTAAGTAATAATTAAAATTCAAATCTTTTTAAAATTTAATAGTCATTTCAATTGAATTTAGTTAATTATTAAGTCTTATTGTATAATTCTTACTTTCTTATTAATTAAATTCAAATATATATTAACTTATTTGATATTTTTTAATTACAAAATTTTAGTTTCTTTCAATCAAAATAAAAGATTAATTATTTTGATACATTATATCTGTTATGATCCCTTCAAGTAGTGATATAGAATCAAAAATTTCAAATTATTCTATTTCATGTAGATCATATATACATACAAAAAATCCATATGTTGTAGTTCGCTAGAATAATATTACTAAAAATTAATTTATATATAATAATTTATTAATTTTTGTATTCTATGGATATCTAATAATACCAGAGTGAATAACTCTTGTTATTTAATTACTATCTATTAATAATTTAAACAATTATGCATAAAGATTTTCCTTAAAATAAAACCCAATCATATTCAAGTAATTATCTTCATTAAATTCAATATTTTTAAATTCTATTCTAAAGAATGATTCCGAAAGAAGATTTAGCTTCTTCTCAAAATCAATATTAAAAATAATAGTTTTAATTTTATTAGTTTCAAATATTTCTATTAATATACATTATTAGTATGTAGACTATTTGTCATATGCTAAATAAAGAAATGGTTTATTGCTGACTTTTTCAATATTGCATTCAATTAATTAGTGATTTATTTAACTTATATATTAAATTTAATTAGAATTAACTTCATACAAAATTATCAAATATTGACAAATTAGAAAATAGTAATTATCTATTTCAATTATTGATTAAATGTTATTGCATTGACCCAGCTCTATATGAATATCATACTCCAAAATATAGTCTTAATTATAAATTTTTATATCATAATGATCCATTTCTGTCTTTATTATAAAGGTGTGATTTCCATTTTCTTCTAAAAATAATAATGATATATTATTATTATTTTTTTCTTCTTAGCAACACAAAATTCCATCAACTTTTGTTGTATTTAATTTCTGAATAACTTTATAATAGTCATATAAAGGATAATAAGATTCATTTGATTATTTCTCTTCTAATATAGTTTCTGCTATTAGTTTCAAGGCTGGTGTAATAGTAACTGATGAGGAAGTAATATTTTAAAGATAACCATATGTAATTTCTCTTGGGTCAAAAACTATAGTATCAAATTTATTTAGGATTAAATTTTAGTTTTGCTTTAATATCAAACCTTCAATATGAGAAAAAGTAAATAATTAAATTTATACTCCTTCTAGAATTCTATTGTTGATTTTGGATTTCAATCTCATTGATATATTATTAGATTAGATCAGATATTATTAATTTGATTACATCTATACTTTAAATTTAATATATTCTAAGCTCTTTTTATATATTTTGTTTTCAAATTAATAAAATATTACACTAATTTTTTTTAATTATAAACACCCACAACAATCTACTTAAATAATTTCTTTCAAAATTTTTGAATAAGATTAAGAAATCTCATATATTAATACAAATATATGATTTGTTGTGATTTCTTTAGCAGCAATTGTTAAAAATTAATTATTTTCTTACATACATATTGGCCATATGAATTGTAATGATTGATTTGGCTTTGGAAGTTCAAACATGAATATCAATTGAAAATTGTGTAGATAATACTTTTTTAGAATAATATTAATTTAATCCTATATCTTGGATTTATGGATGATCACAAATTCTTTTGATGTACCTTCTACAATATTATTAAAGTCAGAGACTTCAATAACTATTATAAATTAAAGTAATATTTACTATGCTAAAAGTTATTACTTTTTAATAGAATTTATGATTCTGTAGCAATAACAAAAACATCTGAAGAAATTTATTTGTATAAAATTATATCAGTTTTTAATTTATTATTGAATAATAAAACAGAATATTTAGAATTATAATTTATTGTATGAATCATACATAATTCCCAGTCTTCAAAATATACAAAAAAATATCCATTAATTGGTTAAATGTATATTATATCTTTTTTGAATTCAAATTATTAGAACTAATACATCAAATTCATTTAAAGTTCAAATAGAAATAACAATTTATTATTCTATTAAATAATTATCAAATTATTTTGTTAATAAATATTACTCTTATCAATTTTACCTAATTTAAAAAGCTTCTTCTTTATTTATAAATCACAGTTAATTAAATTAAAAAATAAATTATTATCTTGGAATAATAGAACCCATTATATATTTTTTTCATAAATGAATATAATCCACCAAAAGATTTTACTAAAATCTAAAGATTAACAAATTTAAGATAAAATATTTTCTTATGGTATAATTTTATTCTAATTAAATTAAATATCTAAAATATCAAAAGGACCACCAAGAATAAATTTATCTAAGAATATTTCAAATTCTAACTAATCTTATTTAATCTCCTAAACTAATATTGGAATTGTTTCCTAAGATATATTTTCAAAAATATTGAACAATAAAATCTGTTCATTTTTTATTTCTATCTTTTTCATGGTAAACATCCACTCTAATTATTTTAAATTAAAATCTCTATAAAATAGAACAATCTAGGCTTTGTTTTCATTACAACTAAATAATGGGTTCATTTGATTTCCTCTTAGTAAAATAATCTAATTATTTTTTACACCTAATAAATAAGGTAATATAGATTTAAAAATAAAAACATCATCAAATTAAATAGTATAATTAAATGATAAATCATTATTCTTGAATAATTCAATATATGAATCAAATAGAAAAAGCAAATTTGTATAATACTGTAAAACTTTCTTTGGTCTCTCTTTTCTTATAATGGCTTTATGGCTTACATTTTGATACTCTGTTTTAGAAATAGTACTTAAAATGTAAAATTCCTAATTATAAAACAGGATATTCCTATCTTAATAAACAAAAATTTCTTCTAAAAAATCTATATCAGGTGAATATACATAGACATTATTGTCAAATGTAATTTATAATTTCTAAGATGTCAAATAAAATTGAATTTGTCTTAATATATTTTAAAAATAATCAAATTTAATTGTTCTATATTCTTTAAAAGTATCAAAAGAAAATAATTAGACTTCCCAATCAGAACAATTAAATTAAGCAAAATAAAAATAATGAAAATAAAGTTCTTCAATATCATAAATACAATTTTTCTATTTTCTTATTCTTTTTTGATCAAGTACAATCTAAGTATTATAATTTATAATTTAAATCAAATACTCAATAGAATCTAAAATATCTTCATAAACTAAGTAGAGATAATGTTTATAAAAGTAAGCGTTTAATAAAGTTCCAATAGGTTGGATGGATACCTCCATTTCTATTATAAAAGTATGATTTGTTAAAGTATCATTAAAAATTTCAAAATTTAGCTTGCAGACTCTGATAAATATAGAATCATTATTTTAATACAAAAATAATAATTTGTCTTAATGTTATATTCTTCTTATTAAAGTTAGATTATAATCTTGTAATTCATAATTCATTACATTTATATATGTGAAGGGTTTGAACTATTCAAATAATTCGATATTATCTAAATTGTAATTTTAGTTTTTTTACTTTAATTTTTAAGTCTAAAATGAGAATTGGAAACTAATATAGTTTCATTTGATGAACATATTGTATAAGTCATTAATTCCATAGGAAATATCAATAATAGCATTGAGATTATAAACAACATTATTAGTTTGAAATAAATATTTATATGTATTTATTTAATTTTATATACTCAATTAGATTTTCTTATTAGATCTACAGCTTGATTGATTTACTCGTTCAAATAAGTTGCATCCTAAAGCATTTTAAATTAATCTTCTAATCCATAATTTTCAAAATCTAATAATATTCCTGTCACTTGAGGTGCCTAAAGATATTAAAGTTAAATTACCAACTTTTATTCAACCTATTAGCTAACTAAAGGAAACAGGATGGCTCCAATAATGGCAGTAATTTTTTTTTCATTTCCTTAAGATTACAAACTTTATAAATATTATAAATCTGGCATTCTTGGTTAGTGTTGTCTTTGTTAATTTTGATATTGATTAGATTATTGATTTTGATAATTTCTCTTTTGTCTATGTTGATTATAATTACCTTGTTATTGAGTGAATCCACCTTATTAATAAGGTGGTTATTGAGGAGGATATTAACCAGGATAAAATGGTGGTTATTATGGATAAGCGCCATATGGAGGATTTTAATAATTTGGATATTATTAAAATGATTATTAATAAGGGAAGGGCACAGGTTAAGGATAAGTTTAATAAGCTAGTTTTTATTATGTTTTTTTGAATTAGATGATTTCTGCTGGACTTAACATGGGTGAGATTTATACAGTTAATTTGTCATATAAATCAAATATTTTTTTAGTTTTGAAAGCCAAATCAATAACTTTTTTGCCATCTTCAGCAGATTTCAAATAAATATAAGCTGATAATTTATTAGATTTATTTGGTGGTAATAATTGAATATCATCTAAAACAATAATTGATTCATATGCTTCTCTAAGTTATTGTTCAGTAACAGTTGATTTAAGATTTTTGGTATATAGATTTGCTTCAATATTATCATTTGAATTAACAGCCCATTGTATAGTAATAATTTAATTTAAAAAAGGTTTAGAAGCTTTAACTGCTTTATAAGCATCTTCTGGATTTTCAAATCTTACAAATGCAAAATATGTTTAATTTTTATTATTTACATTAGTTTATATGGATTCAATTTTACCATATTCAGAGAAATAATTATCCAATTATGATTTAAGTTGATCCAAAGATTATTATGATTTAATATTAGATATAAACAATTAATCTCTTTTGATTTGTTATTATTTACCTTTTTTGATTGCTCTAATTCTATATTATATTTATTTACCTTGTTATATGCAATCCTAAATTTGCCTAATCTGCCAAACATTATTCAGCTGATTATCTTTATTCAAATTAGATATAAGCAACACCAGCTTTATCAGACATCTAAACTTTAATATTCAAAATCTTTCCATATTTTTATAATTTATCTTTCAATTACAATTAGGTAGTTGTCGGACTTAATCCATCTATGAATATATTTGCTTCTTCATCTAATTTGTCCATATCTATGTATTCATTCACATCTAAGTTCTTTCCTCCTATTGTAATTGTCTTTGATGTTGCTCTATTCACTATTTTATTAAATTAATATGTACCTGCATCATGAGAATCAAATACTATGAATACTCCATTTGATTTAGCATTTTACTATAATTATTCTATCTTTCCGAACTCAGAGAATGCTTATTTCAATTATTCAAGAGTTGTTTCTGGTTTATACTAAGTAACATACACACATCTATCATGAAGAATTGATTAAATCATAAATAATTATTTAATGATGAGTAATTAATTATTTTTAATTATTAATTAATGGAAACTAAGTGTAAAAGAAATGGTTGTAAAAAACCTTACAATGAAAATGAAAATAATGATCAAGCATGCAAACATCATCCTGGAAAACCTATTTTTTCAGATCTCAAAAAAGGTTGGACATGTTGTAACAAGATTGTATATGATTGGGATGAATTTACTAAAATAGAACCATGTGCTGTTGGTAGACATACTAATATTGATGTCAATCAAGGTGGTGAATTTTATTAATCAAAAACAGTTGAAAATGCATAAAAAGGTATTAATGTAATTTCTAGAATATTAGGAATTGATAACTTTGCAACTAATGCTCCATAACCTGTTAGAAAAATAGATGATTATAATAAAGAAGAAGCTGAAAAGAAGAAATTATTAGAATAATAATAAGGTATTAATTTCTATTTATACTATATTAGCTAAAGTATAAAAATAAATATTTGTTACTCCAACAGGAAAATATAAATGTACTAATAAAGGATGTTTGAAAGAATATGATCCTAATGAAAATACTGAATGCTTTTTTCATCCAGGTGAACCTTGTTTCCATGACCTTAAAAAATTTTGGACTTGTTGTAAAGTAGTTTCATTCATTTATTTCAAAAGGTTGAAAAATATGATTGGGATGAATTTATGAAAATACCAACTTGTGCTAAAGGGTCACATACACCTAAAGTAGTTTGAAAATCAATATTAAATTATCATCATACAATACAATTTTTAATTTTTACATACAAAATCTGGCTGTTATTAAATTAATTTAAAAAATGAGAACAAATTAAGGTTCAAATAATGATCTTCTTAGTAGAAATTATTAAGGAAGAACAGATATAGATCAATTAATAAATACTTCTCCTAATGGAGGAAGAGATTTAACTGTTTAAAATAATTCTGGATATGTTTCCAGAGATAAATATAATAAACTTAAAGATCTTAATTCTAAATTAAAAGTATTGCATCTACTAAGTTTTAGGCTACATTAAAAGAGTATATTTAAAATACAAAAGATAAAGAAAGATAATTATAAATCAAAGAGGAATAATTAATTAAATATGAAAAAGAAAGAATAGAATTCTAAAATAAAGGCAATGAAGAACTTCTAACATAAATAAATGAATTAAAAATTAAATTGTAAAAATAAAACACTAAAATCAGATTACTTAAAGATTCATCAAAAACTATGGAATCTAGATTGGATGAATAAAAAACTAATTTTTAAGTTGAATTAGATAGAGTATAACGTATGTATGAATTATAATAAAATGAAATGTATTTGTTTTAATGATTATTTAGAAAAGAACATGAGAAAAGATATTTAATATTAAAAGATGAAAATAGTATTTTAAAATAAGCAATGTAGTAAAGAGAAGATTAATGTAGATATTTTGAAATGGCAGTTTAAGATGATAGGTAACATTTACAATTATTGGAATAAAAGATCAAAGAATTATAAGAAGAAAAGAAAATCTTATAAATAGGAATTGATAATTAAATATCTAAAATAGATGAAACAGAAAAGTTTATTAAATTGAATAATTAACGTCATCAATAAGAAATCAATAAAATTGAATAAGAGAAGTAACAACTTTAAAATGAATATCTTTCATAAATTAATCAAAAAAAAGATAAAAGTAAATCATTATAACTTTAAATCTAATTATTGGAATAATAACATAATCAATAATAAAAAGAAGAATTATCATTTAATAAAATTATTTAAGAATAAAAATAGGATTATTTAAGATTGCAATTATAACTTGAAGATTAAAAAAGTAAAACTGATTAAGCTTTTAAAGAAATTAATTTTAAAGTTTAAGAAGTTAAGGAATTAAAATTAAAGTTGGAATCTTAAAAATCTTTAGTTTAAACTTATGAAGATAAATTAGCTTAATATGATATCTAATATTAATTAGATTAAAATGAAAAATAATAGATGTTATTTGATATTGATTAAATTGATTAAGAAAATAAGAAATTGTAACATCTACTTTATGAATCTGATAAAGATATAGCTTACTTAAAATAATAACATGAAGATGTAATCAATGTTATTATTTTTATAGGATTTACTTTAGATAGAAAAAAAAATTGAATCTCTGATTCGTTAACTAAATGAGTCTAAAGAGGAATAACAAGAATAGAAAAAATTAATTTAAGAATTGAAAAAACAAGTAATCTCTAGTGATGAATAAGCAAATGCATATAAAAATAAATATTTAAAAGCTAAATAAAACTAAAAAACATTATAATCAGAATAAAAATATGTAATAATAATTTGTATAATATTATAGTTAGAGGAAAAAGTTAAATTAATGGAAAGTGAAAGAATTTTTGAAGAAAAAGAAGCATTAAAAACTAAAGATTACACAATTTAATAGAAATAAGTCTAATAAAGCAAAATTAGAGTACTTGATGAAATCTAAAGTATGATCAAACAACATAAAAAAATTACAAGTTGATGAATATAATCTACTTTATTAAAAATTAGTTATTAACAGATAAATTAATTCCTATGTATTCTTATGAATATATTGCAGAGTAATTAAAAAAATTAATTTGATAAATGATAACAATTTCTAAATAAATGTTTCGTTTTATAAAAATATATCTTTTTCAATAGAATACGGCTTATAAGTCCCAATTGAATGGTCTTTTAATGTAATTTGGATTTTCTAGATATTTCTTTATTTATGGGAATTCAGAAATTCTATTGTGAAATTCAACAAGTTTTGGTTTTGAAGTAATCACTTCAGGAGCTAATACTAAGAATTCATCAACATATTCCCATACTAAAAAGTCAACATAAGTAATTGTATCTCCTGTTAACCATGTTGATCTTTCTAAAGTAGTATTAAAGACTCTGAAGAATTCTCCAGTCTCTTGCAACATTGCTTCTTTTTTGGCTTCAGCTGTTTCTTTGCTTCCATAAACCCATTAAAAAAATGTGGCTCTGAAATCTCCAACGACTCCTCTAATAGTTGCTACCATAGTCTATTATTTAGCATCTTTGCCAAGTAATTCAGGTTTATTAACTTTGTGAGCTAAATAATAATAGATGGCGTCTGACTCGAAAACAGTCTAAGAATAATATAATTAAATACATGATCTCCATCTTTAAGATATGGAAGATTTGTAAATTGACTATTGAATGTTTAATCATCTTTTCCAAACCATTCTTATGGATCTGTATATCTCTTATCTTCATAAGGAAGTTCAATATATTCAAGGAAGAATCTTATTGGTTAAGCTAAGCCTCTAATGGCCCAATATCCAAGAACGACTTTGTTTTCCATGTAATTATTTATATATGAAATTAGATATTTTAGTAAAATAATGGGTCATATTAATTTTATTTATGGTAATAATATAAGATTCATATATTCTTTTTATTTCTAATTAATTAAAATGGAAATTTGGTGAATAATAATTGAATCATCCTTTTTTTAATGATTAAAAAAGAAATTACATACTTTATTTTTTTTTTTGCAGAAATATTAATTAATCAACATAATATAAAATGTTAAATCGATATTTATTCATTTGATAAAGGGGATTATGAAAAATATTTAATTTCTATAGGATTATGAAGATAAGATGTAAAATTTGGTTTTAAGAAAATAATGTCCCTTTGCTTGAATTAATATAACACATTTGAAATTTTTTTATAAATAAAATTGAGAATATTTCAAGATTTTGATTATTTTTTACCTAATTACTTTGTAATCTTACTATTATTATTGAATATTTCTATTTAATTCATAAATTCAGTGATTTATCATTCTTTATATATTTTTTACTAATATGATATTACTTTATATATTTATCAAAGAAATTTTAAATAAAAAATAATAAATAAGTTAATTGTGTAACTGATTTATCTTTAAACTGCATGTATCATATCATGTTGGTTCTATGAAATCCATAAAAATATTAATAAATTTTAATCATAAATTATAAAATGAAGTATGTTAAAATGGCTGATATTTTTGGAGTATAATTTAAATAAGAAATACATAAAGATGAAAAACTTTAAAAATCTGTTTTTGGAGGAGTATTATCAATTATTGTTACTTCAGTTAGTCTAGGTTACTTTATATATATGATGGATTAATGGAGAAATTCTAATATCCTACCAAAATCAACAAATATCATAAAGGCTGAAAACTATTCATCAATATAGTTTAGTAATGAGAATCTATTCGAATTATGTTATTGGAAGTACTAAGAGGATATAATTGATCCGTTCAGAACCACTGATAATATTTTAATGCCAATAGGTATATATATTATTGCTGGTATTCCTTAAAAACCCTTTTCGTTATTAAGTAACATAACAACTCTATCAACTTACAATAGTAATTTATTTTATGTAGAGAATCTGAATATTATTTAAAATAGTGGATTTAATCCTTTGTTAAATTAAACTAAAGAATTGCTCATTATTATAACAAAATGTAAATAATACTTGCTCTCTGAAAATTAAACATGTGCAAGTGAAAATGAAATTGAAAACTTTTTCATTTCATAAACTAATATCTTGAGCTTTTGGATAAATACTAAGTATTTCAATTCATAAAGCAGGATTTTTGATATNCTCTTATCTTCATAAGGAAGTTCAATATATTCAAGGAAGAATCTTATTGGTTAAGCTAAGCCTCTAATGGCCCAATATCCAAGAACGACTTTGTTTTCCATGTAATTATTTATATATGAAATTAGATATTTTAGTAAAATAATGGGTCATATTAATTTTATTTATGGTAATAATATAAGATTCATATATTCTTTTTATTTCTAATTAATTAAAATGGAAATTTGGTGAATAATAATTGAATCATCCTTTTTTTAATGATTAAAAAAGAAATTACATACTTTATTTTTTTTTTTGCAGAAATATTAATTAATCAACATAATATAAAATGTTAAATCGATATTTATTCATTTGATAAAGGGGATTATGAAAAATATTTAATTTCTATAGGATTATGAAGATAAGATGTAAAATTTGGTTTTAAGAAAATAATGTCCCTTTGCTTGAATTAATATAACACATTTGAAATTTTTTTATAAATAAAATTGAGAATATTTCAAGATTTTGATTATTTTTTACCTAATTACTTTGTAATCTTACTATTATTATTGAATATTTCTATTTAATTCATAAATTCAGTGATTTATCATTCTTTATATATTTTTTACTAATATGATATTACTTTATATATTTATCAAAGAAATTTTAAATAAAAAATAATAAATAAGTTAATTGTGTAACTGATTTATCTTTAAACTGCATGTATCATATCATGTTGGTTCTATGAAATCCATAAAAATATTAATAAATTTTAATCATAAATTATAAAATGAAGTATGTTAAAATGGCTGATATTTTTGGAGTATAATTTAAATAAGAAATACATAAAGATGAAAAACTTTAAAAATCTGTTTTTGGAGGAGTATTATCAATTATTGTTACTTCAGTTAGTCTAGGTTACTTTATATATATGATGGATTAATGGAGAAATTCTAATATCCTACCAAAATCAACAAATATCATAAAGGCTGAAAACTATTCATCAATATAGTTTAGTAATGAGAATCTATTCGAATTATGTTATTGGAAGTACTAAGAGGATATAATTGATCCGTTCAGAACCACTGATAATATTTTAATGCCAATAGGTATATATATTATTGCTGGTATTCCTTAAAAACCCTTTTCGTTATTAAGTAACATAACAACTCTATCAACTTACAATAGTAATTTATTTTATGTAGAGAATCTGAATATTATTTAAAATAGTGGATTTAATCCTTTGTTAAATTAAACTAAAGAATTGCTCATTATTATAACAAAATGTAAATAATACTTGCTCTCTGAAAATTAAACATGTGCAAGTGAAAATGAAATTGAAAACTTTTTCATTTCATAAACTAATATCTTGAGCTTTTGGATAAATACTAAGTATTTCAATTCATAAAGCAGGATTTTTGATATTGTAAAAAAATAATACTACATTTCGTTTGAGAAAGAAAGAGCATAATAAATTTAAGTAATAGTAAAACAATAAAATACCATAATCGATTCAGGAATATTATTTGGAGATTTTGAAGAAAAAGATTTTATATTTGATGCTTAATTTTTAATGAGTACAATATCCATTGACTTTTTTGAAAAAATGATTAATATGGATTCATATTTAACATTTACAATAAGATTAGATCCTTTTTCTTATGATACCTAAATAGTTTATCCTAAATTAGGTGAGGTTTTAGCTTAAGTAGGATCAATAGTTAGTATGATTATGATGGTATAATATCTAGCATATTATTACAATGAANTTTTTTTTTTTGCAGAAATATTAATTAATCAACATAATATAAAATGTTAAATCGATATTTATTCATTTGATAAAGGGGATTATGAAAAATATTTAATTTCTATAGGATTATGAAGATAAGATGTAAAATTTGGTTTTAAGAAAATAATGTCCCTTTGCTTGAATTAATATAACACATTTGAAATTTTTTTATAAATAAAATTGAGAATATTTCAAGATTTTGATTATTTTTTACCTAATTACTTTGTAATCTTACTATTATTATTGAATATTTCTATTTAATTCATAAATTCAGTGATTTATCATTCTTTATATATTTTTTACTAATATGATATTACTTTATATATTTATCAAAGAAATTTTAAATAAAAAATAATAAATAAGTTAATTGTGTAACTGATTTATCTTTAAACTGCATGTATCATATCATGTTGGTTCTATGAAATCCATAAAAATATTAATAAATTTTAATCATAAATTATAAAATGAAGTATGTTAAAATGGCTGATATTTTTGGAGTATAATTTAAATAAGAAATACATAAAGATGAAAAACTTTAAAAATCTGTTTTTGGAGGAGTATTATCAATTATTGTTACTTCAGTTAGTCTAGGTTACTTTATATATATGATGGATTAATGGAGAAATTCTAATATCCTACCAAAATCAACAAATATCATAAAGGCTGAAAACTATTCATCAATATAGTTTAGTAATGAGAATCTATTCGAATTATGTTATTGGAAGTACTAAGAGGATATAATTGATCCGTTCAGAACCACTGATAATATTTTAATGCCAATAGGTATATATATTATTGCTGGTATTCCTTAAAAACCCTTTTCGTTATTAAGTAACATAACAACTCTATCAACTTACAATAGTAATTTATTTTATGTAGAGAATCTGAATATTATTTAAAATAGTGGATTTAATCCTTTGTTAAATTAAACTAAAGAATTGCTCATTATTATAACAAAATGTAAATAATACTTGCTCTCTGAAAATTAAACATGTGCAAGTGAAAATGAAATTGAAAACTTTTTCATTTCATAAACTAATATCTTGAGCTTTTGGATAAATACTAAGTATTTCAATTCATAAAGCAGGATTTTTGATATTGTAAAAAAATAATACTACATTTCGTTTGAGAAAGAAAGAGCATAATAAATTTAAGTAATAGTAAAACAATAAAATACCATAATCGATTCAGGAATATTATTTGGAGATTTTGAAGAAAAAGATTTTATATTTGATGCTTAATTTTTAATGAGTACAATATCCATTGACTTTTTTGAAAAAATGATTAATATGGATTCATATTTAACATTTACAATAAGATTAGATCCTTTTTCTTATGATACCTAAATAGTTTATCCTAAATTAGGTGAGGTTTTAGCTTAAGTAGGATCAATAGTTAGTATGATTATGATGGTATAATATCTAGCATATTATTACAATGAAAATCTATTAGAAAACACTCTTGTAGAAGCAGTTTTAAAAAGTCTTGTATAAAATTATGATTCTCTCAAATAATCATAAGAGAAATCTAAACGAATTACTTATAATAATTTGTAAAAATTAGCAAAATAAAAATTAGTATTTATGAACATAATAAATGAACTTTCAAGAATTGAATTATTTTTATTGAGTTTTTATGACACTATCTAAATTAGCAAAATTTCATAGTTAAAATTTCAGATAAATAATGAAGCTAAATAAGATTCCCTGGAGGGAATATTCTCAATATTATCTAATAATAGTTAAAATATAATAAATGAAGAGGAGTTTAAAGATTTATTCAATGCATTTATTTGTAACCCAATAGAAACAAAAAAAATCATGGTTCTAGAAAATATCTAATGATATAAAATATACTTAACATGAAAATATATTATGTAATATTGAATCATTAATTTTAAATTAATCTAATCATTATTTTCTTATAAAATTATATTTCGAAAATCATAGAGTTTAATACTTAATAATTAATAATCTTTTTATATATATACTTCATCTCAAAAGAATACGGCATAAGGAGGGGAATTGAATGGTCTTTTAATGTAATTTGGATTTTCTAGATATTTCTTTATTTATGGGAATTCAGAAATTCTATTGTGAAATTCAACAAGTTTTGGTTTTGAAGTAATCACTTCAGGAGCTAATACTAGGAATTCATCAACATATTCCCATAATACAAAGTCAACATAAGTAATTGTATCTCCTGTTAACCATGTTGATCTTTCTAAAGTAGTATTAAAGGCTCTGAAGAATTCTCCAGTCTCTTGCAACATTGCTTCTTTTTTAGCTTCAGCTGTTTCTTTGCTTCCATAAGCCCAGCCAAGGAATGAAGACTTTAAATCGGCTATGACTCCTCTAATAGTTGCTACCATTGTTTATTATTTAGCATCCTTGCCAAGTAATTCTGGTTTATTAGCTTTGTGAGCTACATAATAATAGATGGCATCTGACTCAAAAACAGTCTAAGAATAATATAATTAAATACATGATCTCCATCTTTAAGATATGGAAGATTTGTAAATGGACTATTGAAAGTTTAATCATCTTTTCCAAACCATTCTTATGGATCTGTATATCTCTTATCTTCATAAGGAAGTTCAATATATTCAAGGAAGGATCTTATTGGTTAAGCTAAACCTCTAATAGCCCAATATCCAAGAACAACTTTGTTATCCATTTATTTTTAATTAAACAATTGTATTGATATTCAGCCACGATATAAATCAAAAATTAATACGTAATTTCTGATTAATTCAGGCAAATAAAAGAATCTGGATATATTATTTTTATAGTTTTGAGATTATAAAATGTAAAATAAAATAATTTTTTTTACAATAAGATTTCTGAATTTAATAAAAGTTTAGAAACTTTATAGTTTGATTATTAATTTTCTTTAATAACATGTATTGTAAATGATAATAACAGATAAATTTTTATTTTTTTAATTATTTCTTTTATTCTATTCTTTTATTAAGATGAAGATATTATCAATTTAATACAATATATCTGACTGTCTCAAATTCTTATTAACTTATTATATAAATTTATATATTCTTGATTTGATATTTATTAATAAAATGAATAAATAATTCCATAAAACTTCGCCTCCTGAAATATTTCTTACAATTTAAACTAAATAAGCATAACAAGAAGATTCAATTGATCAAATTAAATAAGTTAGATCAGTTAGTTTGGAAAAAGAACTAGCTTAATTGAATGATGAATAAGAAACTTATGATATGATAAATGAAATTGAATATAAAATGCTGAATTTTAGATCAGATTTAAGAAGGGAAAGAGCAGAAATAGAATCAACTAAATCATAATAGAAATTGTTAGAGATTGTTGCTCAATCTAAAATTAAGTAACTAGAGACATCTTTAAAATTCTCTGTGGAAGCTTTAGAAAATAAGTTTATCAGAGAATAGGGTACAACTAATGGATATGTAGAATACATTTAATAATCAATAAGTTAATAAAAAAAAGAAGATGCTTCAATTAGTCACTATATAAAATTACTTGAAAAAAGAGTGGCATCTTTAGAATTTGAATTGGGAATTGAAAATGTAAATAATTAATAAGCATAATGAGAAGTGTTAATAATAATGCATTCTTACTTGATTGAATTGTTGATATATATATTGATAAAAATTAAAATGTAAATCGAGTTTGATTAATACTTGTCTTTGTTAAAAAATTTGGATGAAGAAACAGATAAGAAGATTAGAAATTAATATTCTTAGGTAGAAATCAATTAATCAGAAATATCCAAGTGGAATGAATCACAGAGCAAACTATTGAAGTCTTTAATACAAATCTATTGTACTAATTAAAACATAACCTATATTCATGTACCTGATAATGTTTGGAATATAGTATCAAAATTGCTTAATAAATCTGTTATGGATTGCAAATAACAATTAGAAAACTCAAAAAAATTTATATTTCATTAACAATAATGGACCAAAAGTGAAGATGAAGTTTTAAAAGAAATTTGTAATTAATATTTATCAGAAAATAAGCCATTCATGTGGAATGAAATAGCAAAAGAATTTTCTTAAAAATGCAACAAATCTACAATAAAGTTGACCAAATATGTAAGAGATAGATGGATTAATTAATTAAATCCCTAAATATAAAAAGGTCCTTGGGGCACAATCGAAGAATTTAAATTAATGAAAACAATTTTAAAGCACGGAAAAAATTGGTAAATGATTGCTTCTGAAATGAAAAACCATAGAACAGAGAGTTCTATAAAAAATAGATACTTTAAAATTTTAAAAAAGCTTGAATTAAAAGAGGTTTAATTATTGAATAAATAATAAATTGAGAATGAACTTTAAACATTTAATTTAAGTTAATTTTTTGGAATTTAATAGTTAGGTTAACAAGAAATTAGTTTAATTTTGTTCTATTTAAATGAACTTAATTAGAAACTTTAAAAATCATAAAATAATTAGAAGTTAGATCAAGAAGAAAATGATTAATAAAAACTAGAAATTCAAGTTGATATAGATAATACTCAAAAGAAGAATTTAAAATCATCACAGAAATCTAATAATAATTCTCATGCTACCAATATATTATAGAAAGTGTTAGAATAATATTAATAAGATTAATGTTTAGATTATAATAAAATTAAGGATCATTTTTAAGATATTGTTGCTTAAAAAGGAGAAACTTTAGAATTAGATGAGGAACCACTTAGTAATTCAGATAATTTATCTGAAGTCTAATTTGCAATTATAAATAAGGATTCATAAAATCTACAATTATTTCCTAAAACTCAACTTAAAGCAGTAATGGAAGTAATCAAGTAAAAAAAAGTGATTAAAAAGGATAGTAAAAAAGAACAAAAAAAAATTAAATAATAAGTTCATTTAGATGGATAGCATATGGTAAACTAAAAATAATAGTTAAAATAAAAAGAATAAATACCTCAATAATAAGTTTAATAATAATAGGCAATTTAACCATCATTAATAAAGAATGTTTAGGATTAATAAATAAATTAAAACTAAAATATAAACTAATAATAATAATAATAATAATAATAATAATAATAGTAATAATAATAATAATAATAATAATAATAATAATAATAATAACAATAACCCTTCTATCAATATCTATATCCAAATTATTTATATCCCTAAATGCAAATGTCTTCAATGAATTAAATGCCTATGATGGGATCTTAAGTTATGGGACAATTACCAGGATAAATGATTGGGCCTATGCCAGGATAGATGATGATTTAAATGCCTCAATAATTAAGTAATTAAATGTAAGGATAAACACCAAATTAAAATATTTAGTTGATTTCTGCACATCCAAGTTAGATGTAATAAGTTTTATTGCCTTTAAATTAATAAATACCAGAGTAATTCCAAAATCTAGTATAATATTAAAGTCCGAACATTCAAAATAATTAGCAATTAATGCAGCATTAGGTTGAACAGAGTTAGTTGAATTAGATGTAAATGCAATAAGTCCCCCTTGCTGGGATGGGTTAATAATATATTCCCTTCATGTATCAAATAATAAAAATTTATTAGGTACTATCCATAAGTTCTTTATCCATAATAACAGTTATAATAGATGAATCAGTAAGGTTCTCAACCTTTCTCATAAAATGTCATTGCGAAGGATATGTTTTAGTAGACATCCTAATAATAGATGGTTCAAATGAATAATTCCTTGCCTATGATGCATTAGTTTGGTGATCAATATTTTCAGTTTATGAATATGAACTAAAGTAATTAGTAGATGTAGGCAAATTACTCTCATGTTAAGCAAGAGATGGAGGATTAAAAATAAAAAAAAAATAAATGATTTATTTATAATATTGTGCTTAATCTTATAATATTTATAACTTACTATAATTATTAGGTTGACATCCAGAATAATAATGTGTATGAGCCTCAAGAATTAATTAAATATTAGTGATATTATAATTACAAAATATTTAATATAATTTTATTAAATAATTTATAATAAGATATACAATAATATATCACTAAATCTCAATATTCATAATTAGTCTTAGATGAATATATTATTAAGGAATTTAAATAATTTATAATTTTTTGTTAACTTAGAATGAAATGTCATGATAATAAACCAGCTTCATAATCTTATTAATTTCTCGATAAATTAGGAGAGGGGTATTTTTATCACATTGAAATTATTAGTTCCTTCGGATTTATATGGAAGGTCAAACAAATACAAACTGGTCAAATATATGCTTGTAAATTAGTCAAGAATTCGATGAAGAAGGAAAAAACTTTACTTTAAAGAGAAGTAAAGATCCTGCATTTATTAAAAGGGAAAAAAGGTATGAAATAAATGAAAATAGGTTTTACTCAAATAATAACATCAGGTTAGGATCATAAAAATACCTATTTTATAATGAATTTACTAGGAGATAATTTAGAATAAGTGAGAACAAAATATGGGAATTTTAATACTACTACTATATTAAATACAGGTTAATAGATGATTATGTTACTTAAAGAGCTACATAATACTAACATTATTCATAGAGATATAAAGCCAGAAAATTTTGTAGTTCATTAAGAGAAAGTACATCTAATTGATTTTGGACTATCAAAACTATATATTCAAGATGGAAAACATTTAGAATTCAGAGAAAATAAAGGTATGATAGGAACAGCTCGTTATGCTTCAATAAACTCATTAAAAGGAAATGAATAATCAAGGAGAGACGATCTTGAATCTGTAGGTTATTTGTTAATATATTTATTTATGGGAACTCTACCATGGAATAATATCACAGCTGAAGATAAAAAGATTAAATATTATAAGATTTAAAGAATGAAAGAGACATTTAAACCAGAGACTTGTATAAATTTACCCCCTGAACTTACAAAATATATGGAATATGTTAAACGTTTGAAGTTTGACTAAAAACCTGATTATGAATACTTGGAAAACTTGTTCAAAAGAGGAGAAGATTTTACTCGAAGTCCTAAATTGTAAATTTAATAAAGCCAGTTATAAATTAAATCAAATTTATTGCATTTAAAAAGTATTGATATGAATCAATGTTTGACATCTAGAAAATCATTACATTAATAAGAAAACACAAGTAGAAGAATTACATTAGAAGATTTAAGTTCGACAGGAGCTGACATTATAGAAGAATTAGATAAAGATGAAGGTATACAATTAAAGAACTTATCAGTTGGCATAAAATAACCACAAAGAATAAATTTAATAAATAAAGTAAGAACAGGATCAGATTAGATTTATGAAATCGAGGATAAGCTAAAGACTAATTTATTACCTATTTCCTTAAAATAATTATAATGATATCTTTTGCAATTTATGTAATAATTTATTTACTATAAAATTCTGTATATATTTTAATGAATTCATGTATCATAAATATTGGAGTCTATTAAATTCTTCTAAATCGTGTGATTGGTTAAGGATGGCATTCAACTACATATCAATGTATGAATACCCAATAAATCTAAAAATAATTAGTTGCCAAAATCTTTAAAAATAAAAAAATTCCTGATGATGCTGAAATTCTTAAACTAAAACAATTAAATCATCCTAATATTGTATAAATTTATGATGTATATGAAAATGAAAAGGATGTTATTGTTATTATGGAGAAATGTTAATCATCTTTAAAGAATGAATTGAAATTAAAAAAGGAATATGCTGAAATAGAGTTATTGTGCTTTTTAAGTTAAATTTTAAAAGGCTATAATTATTTAAAGAATTAAGGATTAGAAATAAATGAATTGAAACCCAGTAATATTATGATAGATGATAATGAAATGATTAAAGTATACTAATATTCTATTTGAAAAGCTATCAAATTATGGTATGAAATGTCTCTATAACTATTCTGTTGTGGACATTAGACCTTATGCTGCCCCAGAAGTATTCTTTAGCAATCTATAAACTGATGCCAAAAATATATATTCTGTAATAATGTGTTAAGATATTATTTAGTTAGGTTTGATTATGTATTAACTTATATTTCAACAATTACCATTCTCTTTAAAATAAAATGGTGATGTTATTGTATTTTTATAGAAAATTAAAAAAACTAAGCTCTCAATTCCTAAAAATGTAAAAATTATTTTTATTTTAGAAATTCTAAAAGCTAACCGATATGATTACAGAAATGATAGTCTATGATCATGAAGTAAGGATAGATATAGAAAAATTGGGAAATATATTATTTTAGAATTTTAAGAGAGGAAGTAGAAGAATCTCTAGTATTTAACCAATAGCTGCTAAAGCAGATGACTATTTATACTTCTGATTTTTTTAATAAATTTTTATTAATTTATTATATTTAAAAAAAAATGGCATCTCAAAATAATCTTATTTAAAAAGGCAATTACATTATAGACTTTGAAAGGGATCTTATTGCTTAAGGAAAAAAAGGACCCATTCTAAGATGTAGACGTAAAGATTGCGATTAATACTTTTGTGTGAAAGTGATTAACAAATCATAAAATAAAGCATATTATCAAAGTGAAATAGATGCTTTATTCAAACTTAAATAGTCATTTGAAAAGAATCCAAATGTCTTAAGGATTTATGATATTATAGAGGAGAATGATAAATTTTATATTTTTACAGATTTCTGTATTTCTACTTTTGAAAAATATTTGGAATAACGATGGAATACCATTACTTTGAATTCAGATGAAATCAATGATTTTCTGAGTCAAATAGTGAGAGGATATTAGTAATTAAGAAAGCTGAAAATAAGTGTGAGAGATTTTACACCAAAAACAATTTTAGTTTAGAAATTATTAAATGATAGAATTGTGTTAAAAGTAAATCTTAAACTTTAAATAGATAACTGACTACAGTATTAATTATTAAATTGATACCGAAATAGCAGATGCTTAAACCCGTACTCCATATTACAAGGCACCAGAATTGTTCTTAGCAAATTTAGACAAAATTAAATCATTTGAGTCTTGTGACATTTATTCGGTAAGATTTAATAAATATTATTCAAAAAGCTTGGAGTAATTCTATATATGATGTGCTTTAAAGGAGAAAATTTAATGAAGTTTGGGAATTTCAACGATTTATCGAAATTTCATGAAGAACTGAGGGTCAAAAGAGCCTTTTAATTACCAAAAAATACTTTTTGTTAGTAAGAATTAAGCTAATTATTATCATAAATGATTGTTTATAATCCAGAAGATAGAATATCATGGGATTAATTGGAATCGATGGTACCTCCAAAATTTGTCATCTTAAAAGAAATATTTTTTGTGGATTTTAAATAAACTCTTGGTTAAGGAGCCTAAGGAGTGACTCATATTACATATGATTTAACAAATAATGAATAGTTTGTTTGCAAAGTCATTTAAAACAAAAATTTAGGAACTTCTAGAGAAATATAAATATTCGAATAAATCAAAGGGAAAAATAATGAAAATGTGATCAAAATTTTTGAATTAATAAAATAAACACAATTTACTTATCTAATTATGGAAAAATGTGATATCAGTATGCAAAGTTATTTAGAATAAAAATAATAATCTAAAACTTAATTAGATTAAAAAGAAATCTTAGATATATTATACTAAATTGTTGAAGGCTATTGTTTTTTAAAATAAATAGGAGTAATTCACAGAGATCTAAAACCAGATAATATTCTATTTAAAAAGAATAAATATGGGAGAAATATTGTTAAAGTATTTTAATCAACTTCAATTAGATTATAGATTTTGGAGTTGGTAAGATTATAGGAAAAGATTACACAAGAACTGAGGCAGGAACACCATTATATGCTGCTCCTGAAGTATTAGAACAAGGGAAAGCTTATAATTATTAATGTGATATTTATTCAGTACTCTATTTATTTAAGCTTTAGTTAGGAGTTATTCTCTTTAATTTAGCATTTCTAAAAATGTTTAAAGATATTCGAAGTAGATAAGACCTGAATGAATTTCATAAATCCTTAGCAATTAAACCATTTGAATGTCCAAATCATTAAGTATATTATTTAGTTGAGTTTAGAATCCATTAATCACAGATCTCATTAAAAAAATGATTGTATATGATCCAATTTAAAGAATTACTTGGGAATAATTGTAAGCTCATAGTATATTTGATGAAGTGAGATAATCTTTACTATCTCAATCCCAATAAATGAATTTAGGTGGAAATATCACAGAGATATATTAATACATTTACTCTCTTTATTTATTGGCATTAAAATTATTAACATCATGTGAAGAATGTTAAAAAGAAAATCTATAATTCTATGATGAATTACTATTATTTTAATAATTTATTATTAGATTCTAATTAACTTGTATGAATTGCCTTCGTTAACTTAGTTACGAAGAGGTTATTAATTTATCTGGAATAGATTTTAGAATAACATAAAAGAAAAACTATTCTCTTTGGTTAGATGAAATTTAATTTAAAAAATTATTTTCCTCAGACTTGGAAAAGTATAGTTCTTTAATAAAAACAAAACCTATTAATTTAACCTAGATTGTTATTATGGGATAAGAAATTTTAAAAAATCAAAAAAATAGTGTTTAAGATGAAAATCAAAATATCAATTTTTTAAGTAGTCATTAATTCTTCAATCAATTTTACTCATTAATAAGGGCTCTAATTTTAAAGTCTAATCTCCCAATAAAATTTAAATATTAAATACAAAAATTTTCAGATGTTTTTATAGAATACCCCATATAGAATTTCAATTAATATTCACACACTAAATTAACTTTAAAGATATGCCTAGTAAATTAGATGGAATAATATATTGAGAATCAACTAAAATTAATTTTATGATTTGAACTTTTACAATAAAATAATTTTTTTTATTCCAATAATTAATATTATTTTATTATTATTAATTAAAAACTATCCAATTATTATGTAAAGGAGTCATCCCTCATAAATATCAATAAATAGATTAACAAATTCTTTATTAGAATGTATATTGAAAGAGCAGCATGGTAGCATAAAATTTGATATAATAAAGAAATTTTAAGAAAATATAAATAATAATGAAATTCATTCATATATTATTTAGTTATGGTATTATTGATTATAATATATTAGTTATATTTATTATGTAACAGGTAACAATCATCTTGAAGAATTTTTAAAAAAGTATGGTTTGATGAATTCTTCAAATTATTATAGATTAGAATGGACTTTAAAGGCATTAAGTGAGGATTCCAAATATTACCCCATATAAGATTATTTCATAAAATTCTAAACAGTAATCAATGGAGTAATTTTAGCTTATGAAACATGAATATGTAAACAAAGGATTAACATCTACTAATAGCAGAGAAGATTATTTTTAGGATAGTAATAAATATATATAAATTATATATTTAGTGTATTTAATTAAAGAAGCTAGAGCAAATTATTAAGATAGATAAGATTAATTAATTTTTAATTTAATTGAATAGAGTTTAAGACTTAAAAGCATAGAAATAGAAGAAAGAAAGGAATAAATGATAGCTTTTTTAAAAAAGATTAATCAAAATATAAATTATTTATGGTAAATAACTTCATAAGGTGGGATAACAATACCATTCAATCATGGATTAATAGATTCATATTTAGTAGTTCATATACTTGAAGATGAGTTTACTTGTTTCAATACTGCAAAAAGAGTACCTTACAAAATTATTGTAGAAACTATTGAGTAATAATATAAATGATTTATTTAGTCCATCTGAAATAGAACTTATAAAGAAAGCATAAGAAATCTATTAAAATAGTAATGATATCTAAGAATTAAATCCATTTTATGATATTGAGAAAGAAATGAGAAGCATAGCCCAATTAAAGATACTCTAATAATATGACATTGATGAATTAAAAAAGTATTGTATCAGGATATATGAGATTGGCATTAAAAAAAGTAGAATTCCATTTAAATTCTGAAAACTAAAAAATAAAGAAAAAACCACGAGATAAAGATATTTATGCATCATCAACTAATTGTAATTCAATTTGGGGAGAAGATTGGAATGAGACTTAGTCTAGAATTCGTAAGTAATCTTAATTTGGACAACTTAAAACTTATCAAATAAGATAAATTATTGTTAAAGGAGGTGATGATTTAAGGAATGAATTATTAATAATGTAAATGATAAAGAAAATAAAAGAAATATTTGAAAAACATAAATTAGATATCTTTTTAAGACCTTATGATATAATTTTAACATCACCAAATAGTGGTATATTAGAATTTATACCAAATACTGTTTCAATTGATAAAATTAAGAGAGATTATTAAGGTTATTCTTTAAAATAATTTTATGAGAATTTTTTTGATTGCTTTATTGATGCTTAGATGAATTTCTTGTAAAGTCTTGCAGGTTATTCATTAATTTGTTATCTTTTTTAATTGAAGGATAGACATAATGGAAATATATTGATAGATAATTAAGGACATATTATACATATTGATTTTGGGTTTGTTTTAACTTTAACACCAGGAAATTTAGGTTTTGAATCTGCACCATTTAAATTAATTGAAGAATATGAAGAACTTTTAGATGGGAAAGGTAGTTATTTTCATAATTACTTTTAAACTTTAATATTTAAAGGTATATAATAATTATTTAATTTTTTAGGTTTAATGGCATTGTAAACAGAAATTGATGAAATAATAAATTTTGTTAAGATTATGAATTTCAGTCCTAAACATAATCTATTAGTGAGTTTGGAGAAATTTAAAATTGAAGATTTCAGAAAGAGATTTATGGAAAAATGCTCTACAGATTAATTATATGAATATGTATAGAATCTTGTATAAGAATCCAGTAATTCATGGACCACAACTCTCTATGATTATTTTTAGTTTAAGACCAACTCTATATATTATTGATACTAATTATTAAAATATGAAATAACCTGAATATAAATGTACAGAAAAACTATGGAAGCCTATAGTTAGACCTCCAAGACATAATTACCGTTTAAAAGATATGGGCAATGAAATATTTATGGTTCATGATACTGTAGTTAAACGAGTAGACTTTGAAATGATAAATAGTCGCGGACTAACTCTTCAGTGCAGGTAATTTCAATGAAATTGCTTAGTTTATTTGAGCCTGTTAGAATTCAAGATAAGAATCATTCCTGTATGATTTATTTACATGGGAACTCAAGTAGTAGAGTAGAATCTCTAACAATACTAGAATATTTACTTCCTTAAAACATTTCAGTTTGTGGAATTGATTTGTCAGGTAATCAAATTATTAATTTTAGGTTCTGGTTAATCTTAAGGAGAATATATTTCATTAGGATTCTATGAATCAAGAGATGTAAATGATCTCTATAATTATTTACGTTCAAATAAAGTAAGTTAACTTCATTATTAAAAGTTGCTTAGCCATTTATCACTTAAATCGGTTTGTGGGGTAGATCTATGGGTTCAGTGACAGCTATAATAGCTGCTAGTTTGAATTCTAATTTCAAAATGCTTGTTTGTGATAGTCCCTTTTCAAATTTGACTAATTTATGTTAGGAATTGGCTTCTAATACTTATAACATTCCAGGATGCTGTTTCAATTGCTTTTGGTGTTTCGTTAAATCTAAAATAAGAAAGGAGGCTAAATTTAATATTGATGATCTTAATATCATTCAAATAATACAAAGTTTTTAAATAGAATTATTCTTTAGCCTTACCAACTGATGTTGCTATTGTATTTCTATCAGCTAAAGGTGATACCCTCATTAGAGAAAAACATCCTAAAGCTTTATCGGAAAAATTTAGAGGAATGAAGGAATTCATTTAGTTTGAAGGTACTCACAATTCCAAAAGACCAATTGAAGTTATGAAAGAAACAGTCTAATTTATAGTTGCTTAAATGGCAAAATATGATTAGCATACTAGTCAAAAAGATAACAAAATTTCATTGAATGGTAAAGATTAGATTCCAATTACTGATGTTGGAGTACCATTACTATATTCTGAAAGACCTTACATATCTAAAACAGAAAAATGATATGAAAATATGTTCTATAATTATTATCAATATATATATTCAAATTCTTTTACATTTATCTTAATTATGTTAGAAAATACTTTATTATTTGAGATTAAAATTAGTTAATCTATTTAAATCAATCTATTAATAATTATATTTACTAAAAGATATTTTAAAATTTAATGATATAAAGGAGAAAATTATATTTAAAATCAAATCAATTTAATTTATAATGTTTTTTTTTAAATTCATTGAGAATTTTAATTCTATGTAATTCAATAATTTCTAAATATGAGAAATTATACTTAATGAAATAATAAAGTCATTTTAAATTAATTTACTTTTTAAACTAATACTATTTTTTATTTATTCTAAAAATTTTTAATATCAATTTATACATAAACTCTCTTTATTTAGCTACTTTCATTTATGATATAATTGACAATTTCTAATTGAATATATAATATTTATATGATTTATTTTCTTCACATTTAATGATATTTCAAAACCTGCAGAATTTTATAATAATTTATATTTCTTTCTTTTTCCAGTTTTTTATAGTTTTTCATCCATAAATTAAATAAATGTAATAATATTCTTTACCTAATTTGAAGAAACATTTTATACCTTCTAAAGTGAATATACAACATACCTTAGATACATCATCATATGTAAAGATATAAAAGCATACCAGTAAAGAAATTAGCTTTGCAAATTATGTTTTAAAAAAATAGCAAGAATTAGAACTCGCTATGAAATAGGTTATACAAAAACCTTAAAATAAGAATTAATTTTAAAGAAATTTGACTAAAATATAAGAACAACAGAAAAAATCTCCTTATTTAATTAGAGCATTAAGGAAAAATAGATACAAAACAGAACCAATAGAATAAAAGAAGGAAATAGACTAATTGAAATCAATGGAGATTCCAAACCATAAAAATTTTGGATTTGAAAAATTTTCAATAAATTCATTAGTGAGATAATAATGTAGAGGGATTAGAGTCAGCCCAAATCATAAGCTTTTTACAAGTGTTTAGTGATTTATTAGTTATTGAAATCGTTTGTTTCATAGCTAGTTAAACTTGCAATAAATGGTTTAGTAAATGAAACATACTAAACTTTCTTTTATTTTGGAGATTATTAAGTACTTCTAAATGTTCTACTTTATAATTTTCTCCTTTCAAGTTATTAAAAAAATTAATATTCTTCTCTTTTTAGTCCATTAAATTTTATTTATCCATTCAATTTTCTATTATCTACAACACTTTTGATATTTAATCTTTATATTTCAGTTGTTTTTTCATCACTAGAATTTGGATCAAAATAGATTTCATTAAGTTCTTATTGATGAATATGAAAATCTTTAAATTTTTTGAAATAAAATTATGCTCTATTATGTTTTTATGGAAAATATTTTTATTCAATTTCTAGATTTTATTTTAATTATTTCTAATAAAAATGTTTACTTTTTGAGAGACTATCTTTAAATGCATTCATAATTTCTTAATCTTCTTTTACTAATTCACCTACTTATTACCAATGTTCTTTCTCTAATAATTCTAAATTCTTTTTTATTTATTAAATTCTTTCACATTTCTTTTTACTATCTTCAAATAATCTATTAAAAACACCTTTTTATTAGAGTTTTGATGTTTGAAGAGTTTATGTTTAAGCTATTTTTTCAACAGATTATTGTTAATGTAAAATTATCAATTAATTAGTCTAACCTAATTAATAACCATAATTTTTATCATTTGATACTCTTAGTTCATCTTAATAGTTTGAATTAGAATCCTTAGATTCATTAACTTAAACATATCTTCTTTTAAGATTTGCACTTTTTTAAGAAGAATAAACATCAGAAGATTAATTTCTTTAATTACTTAATTTAAAATGCTTTTATATTGTTCCTTCTCCTTCTATATCATCTATATCTTATGATAAATGTTTGATTTATTATTTTAAACCTGTTATTTATTTAAGTAATTCATCAATATCTATTAAATCAGTTTAACATTCTACATTATTGCTATCCTTTTTGAAATATCCTTAATCTTCATTGATATTTTCATCATTGTTTTACATTGTATATATTTCAATAGCTTCTGTTAATGATTTATTTACATTACAAATCATAGTTTAAGTTGATTTATTTTCATAATAAACACTTAAAAATTCTAATGCTTTATTATTTTTTTCAAATTATTCATTTACTTCTTATATAAATTTTAATCCATTATGTTATTATCTAAGTTATTTAAGTTTATCTTTAAAACTAATAGTTGTTTCTCTATTATTATCTTCCAAATTCAATTATTCAGGATTTATTTTAGAATCTATATGTTTAATTGTTTATTATAAACATTTTTAATGATTTTTAACTTTTGCTTTTAGATCTTCAATAGTTACTTTCATTTAAGAATTTTAGCTCTTTAGTTCATAATTAGATAATTAAATTTATTCTAATTTATTATTTAATTCTATTATCTCCTCTTACTTTGTTTTAATAGCTATCATATTTTTGAGATAATTATTTTCTAGCTCTAAGAATTGTTATGATGTCAATTTTTCGTAGTCATTCTAACTATATTATTAACTTTTTGCTTTACTATGCATATAATATCAATTCCTTTATATCTTTGCCTTTCTTTATTTGACTCACAATATACCATAATCTTGTAGCATATTTGAGTTGAATTTTCTGTAATTACTATAATTCTTTTGATTTTATATCCAAATATTCCTCTTAATATTATTTCACTATATTAATTTAAACCTGTAATTACATTATTTTTTAAATTAATCAAATTATTGCATAATTTATTAATTCACTCTATTTTCAAATTATTTAATTCTTTCAACTTCCCTTTTTAATTATTCAATTTCATCTAATAAATCTTAATTTTAGAGATTAATAATTCCACAAGCCCTTTCCAAATATACATACATTTAATCTTCTATTCCTTTCTTAAAATATTCTAATTCTCTATCGTAAGCTTTAGTTACCATTAATAATTTATTCACTTCTCTATATCTAATTCCTGATGCTGGCTTTTATTTTTCAAAAACATCATGAAAATAATCATTTCCTTTGATATCTTAAATATATTTCCATATTTTATAAGGATCTTATTCTAATGAAAATATACGATTCATCAAATACTCTACATTCTCCATCATCTTTTACTTTTGCTCAAAGTTTCCAACTATCTATCTCAAATTCTAAACTTCACTTTTCTATTTCTAAACAAATAAATATCTAAATAATATATTTAATATACATTTCTCTTGTTTTCTTTTCATATTGACTCTTTAAATTAGCTATCTTATTATTTACTAAATCTCTATAACGAGGATCTTCTATATCTGTAACATCACAATAAGAAACCTCATAGTAATCAAAATCATCAGACTTTTTATACATTTGTTCTCTCATATTTTATAAATCTTTCAAATAACCACTAGCTAAATCCAAAAGTTTTTATTCTTTTATTTAAAGTTTTGCCTTAAGATTTGCAATTTCATAATCCTTTTATTGTAATATTACTTTATGTTTTTCCAAATTTGCATCGTTAGAATAATCTTAAGTATTTTACTAAAATGATATTTATTTAACTAAACGTGTTTCTTCTTCATCTGAATTCATAAACCCTTCTTATTCACGATCTCCATGATCTTATCGCTGTTTTATAAGTTTACTTACAATCTCTTATTATTTAACTAATATACTTGGCAAATTGTAGATTCTTTAGGGTTCTGATAGAACTTTCTTAATTGCTAAATATATTGGATTAATATGGTTTTATATTCAACAGGCGTTAAAGTACATGGACAACAATTTCCTAAAAAAACAAATTCAAGTATAGACAATGCAAATTAATGAATGTGGGATTGTATAATTTAACTTTTAACTTGATCAATATTCTAAAGTATTTCTTTAATTGGTTTAATAAGATTATCCACTTATAATTTAATGTCCATTATAATAATATTAATGAAAATATAAATATTATATATAATCAGTATCAAACTATACTTCCAACACTTCTTCTTTTATTACGTAATTCATTAATTTATTATATTTCCTTTTTGGCAGTATCTAATTCAACATTTGTTAAAACCAGTTATTCTGAACTTTTATTATAAGTTTTATTTAATTATAAAAATTTGCTTCTCCATAATTAAGATTCATTTTAATATAGTGAAACCTATTTTTACTAATTGATTAATTAAAGTTCTAATTTAGTAATCTATTTATTTAGATTACGAATTTCAATATTTAATTGTTCAATTTTAGTGGATTATTCAATTTATGATAATTTAAATTTATTTTTCATCTCATCATATTCTTTAATTATAATGTTTTTTTGTTCCAATATATTATTGAGACTTCTAATTTATTAATTTGATTCTTCATTTTCAGATTGAAATTTAGAATTAAATAAATCTAATATTATTTATATATTTATTTACCTGTGCTATTTGTTAATTATTATTATTAATCAAAAAGTCTATGATTTTATTCTAGATAAGATATTTTCATCTATAAAAATTATATCTAATATTCATAATTTTTATTAAATGCTTAGATTTCTAAAAGTTATTCTTATAAATCTTTTAATTAATTGATATATTCATGTTCTTTATCAAAGTTTTTAACTCTCATTTCTTCCATTTGATCAAATAATTATTGATTATCTTTTCTTAAATCACTGACCAATTATTCTAAATAAAACACTTTTAGTACATCTACCTAAGAACTTCTACTATCCAATCTACTTGGATAGCAATCTGGACTCTAATTTAATAATATATAATTACTTGATATTGTTTAGAGACAAAGAAAAAAGGTTATGATTTGATGTGCATGATTAATTAAAAAAAAAATATATATATAAATATATTGATAATTTATCTATTAATTATGATTAATAATATAATCATTTTAAACTTAATAATCTAATAAGTATACTTAATTATGTGACATATATTTACATATATATATGAATATAATTTATTATTATGGATAATGAATATTTTATAATTATTATTATTTTTTTCAATCATTATTTGATACCTGCTCTATCAAAACTTTATTTGACTTATTGAATAAGTGATAGATCATTTTCATATTATTATACTAATTTAGAATTCAAATTAGCTCTAACAATCCATGCATCTTAAGTGGCTTTCAAATTATCTTGAGCATCTTATAAATTGGATTTAGCATCATTAAGTAAATTTGATTTTGCCTTAATTTCAGCTATATTATTATATTATCTCACATACCATCTTTAATTTCAATATTCTCTTTAAAATCTGGTAAGATAACTGTTGATAATACATTTAATTTTTCATCATAAGTAGCCAACAATTCTTTATTCATTGCTTCTAATCCTTAAGATGATACAACCAATTATAATCTGCTTTCTAAAAGTGATGTTCTTAATTAATTAAGAAGTTTAGTGACTTTGCTTATCAATTCTTAATTTGCAAAACTAAAAATTAATTATAATTAATTTTTACTTAGATTATGCAATTTCAGCAAGAGCAACAATTAATGGTTAGAAGAAAACCTTTTATTTACTTAAATGAGTCTTTAATTTATCATTAACTTACACTAAACTATCAGTATTTTTCAAAGATGTCAACATGTTAAGGGCTTCATCAATAGCAGCAGCAGAATCATCATATTCTTATAATTAGGCAGCAGTATTAGCAGCATCTGTTTTGATTTATTAATCTAATTGATTTCTTAAAAGTGTAAGATCTTATTATTCTTTGATTGCATCATTTAATAATGATTATAATGTGTTTCTAGCTTCTGTAAGATCAGCCAAATCAACTTCATGTTATGCTACTTCTACTTAATATTAAGTGATTTGATTTTCATAAAATTCTTAATCTGCATTGTTGGATAAAAAGTCTTTATTGAATGAGGCATTTTCATCTTCTTTATTTTATGTAATTTCAGATTCAAGATCATTAATAGCATTTATCAAACGAGAATAATCTAATTATTATGATTACTCTTATAATAATGCCATATTTTTTAATGCTCTAAAAAGTGATGGATGTTATTCCTCAATTGATTTTTGTCTTAGAATTAATTTAATAATTACTTTGTTTGATTATCATTGACTGCAATTGTTACAAGTACTAAAGCAAAGAGGACTATTAATTTCATTTATATAATATATATTAATTAAAAACGACTATTTAATTCATTTATAATGTAGTGTAAAATCATCAATACTAAACAATGGAAATCTGGATTCTAATTCTTAAAATAATAATTATTAACCGGATGTACACTAATTAGGTAAATGCTATCTAACAATTATATTTTTACTCCCAAAATTAAACCAAATTCAATATGTAATTTATGTCTAATATGTTTAACACTTAAATTAATTGGTATAGTCCATTCTTATTAAAGCATTTCATTAAATTCTGTTTGTAAATTACGATTACTCTAAATACTACTCAATAAATGTTCTAAATATAAACAAATCTTTTAATTCTAATGATGAGATTACATCCAAACTGTTTAACCATCTACTCTCATTATCATTCTCTAAATAAATATTTATTATTACAGTTCCAAATCTCCAAAAATCAGTTAACATAACAAAATTAGCTGTCACTTATATATAAGTATGATTTTATGGTAAATCATTATATTGAAATATTAATTCATCATTCCATTTTCCATATATTCTATTATTATCATTTCTCTCATATTTATATTTATCTAATTAACTTCTTTTGAAATGTTCATGTTTATAACTAAAATAACTATTTTATTTTAATATTTATCTCAATTTTTCATGATCGTTTTATAAATTTTTACTTTCTTTTTTCCATCCAATATTTTATTCATCTACAATTATTGGTATCCATTATGATTGACCATGAATTTAAATAAAATCAGTTTGTATTGTTTTATAATCAGTACTTTCATCATCATCATCCTTATAGATTTCTTAAAAATTAGCACTTATAAATATTGTATCCTCTCTAGCTTCTTCTATAAAAGCAGATGCTCTAGTATCACTTCTAAATGGACTCAAACTATTTAATTCTAAAACATCTGAACTAAATTCAGTTGGTATATCAATTTCTTCTGTTACTATTCTATCTGCATGAACCTCTTAACATTTTAGTTCCCCTTTTAGTATTAATTATTTGCAAACTAAATTTTCTTTTATATCCAATTATTTTATGTCACCATTAACTACTAAAACTAGAATTGTGATAATAAATAATTTCATTTTATTATATTATTCATTTTATATTATATTTTAATAAATAATAAGGAATAAGAAACTATAATCTTTTATTTTAAGAATATTAATAATATATTCAAACTATATGAAATATATTAATATTATTATCAAATATTATTCTAACACCAAAATTGTTTTAATGTTTCTGTTAAATCATTTATTAATAATTTTAAGGATTTATAATCTCCTTTATAATTTTCTAATTTTTATATTTAAGATAAATCTTATTTTAATTGATTTTCTCTTTTTTCATCTACTTTATATTTTTTAGATTATATCTATTCATTAGCCATAAATTTTTATTTGAAATATTTAACTTCTAATTTTAATAATTCTGTTTTTTCATCATATGATGCATCATATAATTAACTCCAATTAATAATCTCTTAAAATTTACCTGGACTATTTAAGATATAATCAAAAAAGCTTTCTTTAAATTATTCTATTGAATCCTATTGATAACTATATTACTTGATAAACTCAATCAAGAACTATTATAATTCTTAATTTAATTAATTATTCACTAATTCTATGCTATGTAGAATAGAAGGATTGATTTTCAAATTTTAAAATTCTTCTATATTAAGTTGATATCTATTTCTATCTATTAATTCATTATTGTTTAATTCATAACTTAAAGTACAATTATCTATATCTCTTAAGAAAAATGTATAATCCTCTTAAATTTTAAGTTTTTCTCTAATTTTTATTTGCACTTTTTCAACATTCTTTCTCCTTAATTTAGTTTCTTCATTGTTTTTCTAACCATTTGGTCCTGTTATTGTTAATAACTTATAAGTAGCAAATGAAGAGATTATATCCAACAATTTCAATGCCAATTCATTTGTTGCAATATAATTATCATCTAATAATATATCTTCTTAGTTATCCTAATTCTCTTTTTATGGTCTACCACGTCCATTAATTTTATTTCTACTCATTAGAATTATTTTTATTTTTTAAATATTTATGATATGAACCTAATACTATATAATTTATATTCTATTAATAATTATTGAATTATTTTAAAATATATTAATTAATAATTAATCATATATATATTTAATTATTTGCTAATTCCTATTAAAATAATTACATCATGTTTTATATGATATCAAATTCAATTGATTGATTAATAATTGATATTGAATATGTTTGTGAATTTGCTACTTTTCTTGGGGTGTATATTAACACACCAATTTAACTATATGATTTTTTAATTTAATCATTAATCTAATGTATTTACTAATCTTTTTTAATCATTTTATTATTTAATCTGTTAAACTTAATTTAATTTCCATCAATGCTAATATTGTGTAATCTTTTTTAATGCAAATACTGGTAATATAATTAATTCGATATTATTTTAATCTACCTTTAATATAGTTATCTATGATAATAAACTATTTTATAAACCTCTTAAACTCTTCATTAATAGTTAATTTTTTATCATCATTATCATATTTTATAAATATTCAATATAATTTATATATCACTAATAACAACTAAAATCTATTCTTTAAATATTAGATATATAATAATACTCTTTTTAATTGCCACAATTACATTCTTATTTATATTAATTGTATCTAATCAAATTTGAAAATAATCAATTATTATTAAGTTTTTATGTATATAAAATTAGAATCAATTAAATATGATTTTAGAACCGTTTTATTAGTTACAATAAATTAAATTATAAGAGTCATTTCATTTTGAATATCTATTTTGTTAATCAAATAAAAAAATATATATTAGTGAATTTTCTTTTATTTCTAGATTCTATTTGGTAATCAATAACTTTGTTTGAGTAAATTATAAATTATAAATTAATAATATTAAATTAATTAAATTTTATATTCAATCTGGATTGTCAAAATAATTAGTAATTATTCTTTAACGATAAGTGAAGAAGAGTAATGGATCTATATTCAATTTAAATTCTAATAAGAAAACCAAGACTCTTTCCAAATGGTTGAATTCTTCATGTGAAATTCCAGCTACTTTTGCATAATATGAATTTTGAAAGAATCTATCATCATAAAATTTAGCAGATAACATGACTGCTACAACATATAATCTTATATTAATTATAAATATAATACCTATGAACATTAATTGATTTTAATATAATTCTCCCCCATTTTTATGATAATTTATCAATCAATATTAAACCCATTATTAAACATTCCTATGAACATTAAGCTTATTTTAAGATTCTACAGATATAATCATAAATAGAAATTGAGGGAATCTTAGAACTATTAAAAGATTCAAGTTCTTAAATATTATTAGCATCATTGTCACCTTCTTCACATAAATCCATAAGCAAATAAGCCATTGCACTTGACAATTATTTATTATCAGCAATTTGCTAATTGTATAATTCATGTTATTATTCATATGTCAATTCTGTTGTTGATACTAAGTCTTGCATTTAAGTATTTATTATATATTATTATTCAATATTTAATTATGTGAGTATTAATTCTCTTTAATAAAGTATTTTATATGTACACACTTCCATATTCTACATATATCTACTTTTTTTGTTGTCCACTGATTTTGTAAGATTTGCTAGCTTTTCTATTTTAATTTGAATGTTTTATTTAGGCTATTACATTTATCATCAATTTATTCAATACCTAAATTTATATATTTATTATAATAAACATAATGCATTCATGATAGACATCTAAGTAATTACTATAAAATTAATTATTACATATTACTTAATATCTAAACTATTTGATTATCAACATCATTATCATAACAACAACTATTTAAAGAAATTCTTAAATTTTTTGTCTTTATTGCTAATAAATCTAATAAATTAAATTAATACAATAAAAATCAAAAATTAATCTATTATAAGTTCTTTATCTTATTCAAAAACATTATTAGTTTCATTCTCTTGAATTAGTTGTAATTATTATTGAAGTAAACTTGTATATAATTATACTATTTAAATTTAATTATAATCTTAGTTTATAAGTTAATTTAACTTTAATTATATTTAAGTCTTGATAAACTTTATTCTTACTCATTAAAGTTTCACAAATTACTCTTAAATTAGTGATTTTGCTTTATTTATTTAATATTTAGATAGATATATTTGATCTTTAACACTTATTTATTAGCTTCAATTTCAAACAAGCCATTTAATAATTATTCAATAAAGACTAATTTTATTGTTTATTTTAATTTTGATATTTCCTTATGTTCAATATTAAATCTATACAAAAATCTCTTAATTTGATCAGATAGAACTTACATAATAATTCTTATTTAAATCTTGTAAAGATATTTCAAAAACATAATAGACTGCTTATAATGAATATAAAGCATATATCATAGTTTAGTATTTCTATTTAATATATCTACTTGAAAAAGATTATAAATTTAAAAATTATTATAAAGTATTTTACATTATTGAATCAAAAGAATCTATTATTTGGATAATAATGTTTTATTAATTTAGGGATTCCTATGTATTCTAATCGTTGATTTGATGAAGACTCATAATTTAATTTTACATAAATTTATTAATGTATAAAATATTTTGAAAAAATATATAAATTCAAAAGAGTGTAGAGAAGTAAAAGAAGGGAATGATTATTTGGATTATTGATAATATTGATTCTAATTTGAAGATTAAAGAATAAAAAATTTATATCTTTTAATTAAAAAAAATATATTATGGCAGACGTTCAATCATAAAGAGCATTCTAAAAATAAGAAGGCATTTTCTAAAACTCAAAGAAACTCTTAGCTAAAAAGACATCAAAAGGTGTTAGATATTGGAAAGAAGTTGGTTTGGGTTTCAAAGTACCAAAGGAAGCAATTGAAGGTCATTATATTGATAAGAAATGTCCATTCACAGGAAATGTTAGTGTTAGAGGAGCAATATTAAAGTACTATAGAAAATGAATATATAATAGAGGAATTGTGATTTCTACAAAGATGACAAGAACCATCATTATTAGAAGAGATTATTTGCACTATGTTGCTAAATATAATAGATATGAAAAGAGACATAGAAATGTACCTGTACACATTTCACCTGCCTTTGGTCCTGTTAAAGAAGGAGATATTGTTGTTTGTGGATAATGCAGGTATTAATGATTTAATATTAAGACCATTGTCAAAGACTGTAAGATTCAATGTTTTGAAAGTAATTCCAAATGAAATCATTGGTAATGTTAGAAAACAATTTGTTTTGTTCTGATTTGCATGGATATCTATATAGTACAATATCAAAATATTTTATGCATTTAATTTAATATTATATATTAATTATGGACGACATGAATAATTACGATGAGTTTGGAAATTACATAGGACCAGAAATAGATTCAGATGAAGAAGATAATGTGTAGATTGAAGAGGAATAGATAGCTGAAAATGACCAAGAACATGTAATAGCAAATGTAATAAAATGCTTCTATCTTTGAAGAGAGTGTATATACCTAATCAATAAGTTGCAGTAATTCTTAATGAAGACAAACAATATTATCCAGATGCATAACAAGTATATGGTCGAGATGTTGAAATCAATGTATAAGAAGAGGATGCTTAACCAATAACTTAGCCAATGATTGCTCCACTAAAATCAAAGGAATTTGATATTTAAGAGACATAGATACCTCAAACTACTTTCGACTATGAGTTTCTATGTCGTATTTCTAAGAATCCTGCTTTGGTAAGAAATGTTGCAATTGTAGGCGGTCTGCATCATGGTAAGACATCATTGATGGACGTTTTTGTTAAACAAACTCATCTTAAACAATTTAGTTTGTAGAAAGATATCCGTTATACTGATACTCGTCAAGATGAATAATAGAGATTGATCTCTATAAAAGCAATTCCTATGAGTTTATTATTGCCCAATAGCAAAGATAAGTCATATTTAGTAAATTTATACGATACTCCTGGACATGTAAACTTTATGGATGAAGTGTGTTGTGCTTTAAGAGCTAGTGATGCCATGTTACTTACTATTGATGTAGTTGAAGGAGTAATGATGACTACTGAAATGCTTATAAAGGCAGCTGTCAAAGAAAAGATGCCTATTGTAGTTTTGATTAACAAAATAGATAGACTTATTATTGAGTTAAAGTTGCCACCTTCAGATGCATATTTGAAGATCAAAAATATACTTGATGAAGTCAACATCATAATATCCGATAATGGAGGTAATTAAATCATTTCACCTCTTAATCATAATGTGATATTTGGTTCAGGTTTATTTTAATTTGTTTTTACTATTTAGAGTTTTGCAAGGAGATACAATAATTTCTTAAATCCTGAACAATTCACTCGTCTTCTATGGGGAGATATCTATTATGATAATAAAGAGAAGAAATTTGTTCGTAAAATGTCCCCATATGCTACTTAAAGGACATTTGTCGAGTTTATTTTAGAACCCATTTATAAATTATTTGGATAAGTGGTGTCTAAAGATAAGGAATAATTGGAACCCTTCTTATTGAGTCAAGGTATATCTCTAAAAAAAAGTGAATTTAAAATGGATACTAGACCATTATTGAAATTAGTATGTTCTATATATTTTGGTAATACATCTTCTTTAGTTGATGTACTAGTTGAATAAGTACCTAATTCATAGGAAGGTAGTAAAAAGAAAATGGATTTATATTATTAAGGTGATAAATCAAAATAATCATTTATTTAAGCTTCTCAAGGTTCACATAAGGGACCATTATGTATAAATGTTGTGAAATTGTACAGTAGACCAGATTGTATGAGTTTTGATGCACTAGGAAGAGTTATAAGTGGAACTATTAAAAAAGGATAGAATGTTAAATTATTAGGTGAAAAATATAATATAGATGATGAAGAGGATATGGCAATAAGGAATATTAAAAATATTTGGATATATTAAGGTAGATATAGAGTAGAAGTGAATAAAGTACCAGCAGGAAATTGGGTTTTAATTGAGGGAATTGATTAATTTATAAGCAAGAGTGCTACAATTATTGAAGATTCTTAATAAATGGACATTTTAAGACCTATTTAACATAATATTTTAGCAACTATGAAAATTGCTATTGAACCATTAGTTCCAAGTGAATTACCTAAAATGTTGGAAGGTTTACGTAAAGTTACAAAGAGTTATCCTATTTTGACAACTAAAGTGGAAGAATCAGGAGAACATATTTTATTAGGAACAGGAGAATTATATTTAGATTGTGTTATGCATGATTTAAGAAAAATGTATTCAGAAATTGAAATAAAAGTATCTGATCCATCTGTTCGTTTTTGTGAAACTGTTATTGAAACATCATCAAAAACATGTTATGCAGATACTCCTAATAAAAAGAATAGAGTATTTATTTAATTATAATATTAATTAGATTAAAGCATTAGCAACTCCATTAGATAAAGGTTTGAATCCTTAAGATAAGGGATTAGCTGAGAGAATTGAAAATGAAGAAATAGATTTATCATGGCCAAAGAATAAATTAAGTGAATACTTTAAATCCAATTTTAATTGGGATATTATATAGAGTAGATCTGTATGGGCATTTGGCCCTGAAAAAACAGGACCTAATGTATTTTTAGATGATACTTTACCATCAGAAACAAATAAATAATTATTAAATGAAGTCAAAGATTATATGATTTAAGGTTTTTAATGGGCAACTAGAGAAGGTCCTTTGTGTGATGAACCTATTAGAAATGTTAAATTCAAGATAATTGAAGCAAATATTGCAAATGTAATAATTATATTTGTATTATATATAGGAACCCATATATAGAGGAGGTGGATAAATAATACCAACTACAAGAAGAGTGTGTTATTCATCATTCCTTATGGCAACACCAAAAATCATGGAACCTATGTTATTAACTGAAATAATGTGTTTCCAAGATTGTATTCCTGCCATCCATAATGTTCTTTTGAGAAGAAGAGGACATATTTTATCAGAATAAGCAAAACCAGGTACACCCTTTTCAGTTGTGAGAGCTCACATTCCAACAATTGATCATTTTGGATTCGAAACTGATCTCAGAGTACATACATCAGGATAAGCATTTTGTTTAAGTGTTTTTGATCATTGGTCATTATTGCCAGGAGATCCTTTAGATAAAACTATAGTGCTTAAACCTTTAGAACCAGCACCTTCAAATCATTTGGCAAGAGAATTTATGATAAAAACTCGTAGAAGAAAGGGTTTGAATGAAGATGTGTCTATCTTGAAATTCTTTGATGATCAATTTTTGATTGATTCACTTAAACAAGACAAAGACTATTAATAGTATATTTGATGAGTAATTATTTACATCCCAATAAGATAATCAATCATTATTTTAGAATTTCATAATTTCATAATTTCTTTTATTTTTTTTGCATAACAAAAGTATTCTATTTACTTGTTTTATGTATAAAAATATAATTATAATGTCTTAAATCCATTAAGATTCATTATTATAAATAATTAACTTAGTAATTAATTTTAATAAAATTAAAAAAAAAAATGATAATTAATATGATATTCATATATATATAATTACATTTTGATACTTCATTATTCTAATTATGGCTTGTACACTTATCTTGTATTAATATTAATTCTATGTTCAGATAAGTAATTAAAAACATGAAAATCAGTATTTAAATTACCATCAAGCTATTATTATTGATATGGATTTCTAATTAGATTAGGTAATAGATAATACTATTTAGGATGAAATGAATTTGCAAGTATTCTAGGTACTCCATGATAACATCTTCTAGCATGACCACTCATAACTAATAAATCTCCAGAATCAAGCTTAAGAGCAATTGGTTTTTCATCTTTTGTTGGTCCTCCTATGACAAATACACTTGATAATCCAAAACTAAATGAGTAGATAGGAGAATCTTAATCTAATTCAGCATCATCTAAATGTCCAGTCATATAATCATGAGTTTAATAAAAGTTTATTATAACTGATTCACTTTAATAGTGATTTTACAATTATAAGAAATTATTAGCTCTTTAAGAGATTTCTTAGATTGGATCAGGTACTTATGTTTTTTCTTGAGGATAATGTCTATATATATATTAATAAATTATTAATATAATACCTATTGTTCCAATCATATTGATAACCAACATTAGCCCATCTTATTTTATTATTAAAATGATATCTTTTATTATCATGGACTATAAATTTATCAAAGTTCTCATCTTCTTTATAGATGAAGAGATTAGTTCTGTATGGTTAATTAATATATTCATTCATACACAATTTAGAAATGCGAATTTAATCATCAAGGTTGAGAAAATTCTTTACTTAGATAACTCCTTAAGGATAATCAAAATGATAGACTGATCCATTTTTATGAATTCCTTATTATTCCATTTATTATTCATTTAGATTATTTACATCAATAAGTTCACTAAAATCAGTTTGAATATCAGCATAGAATTTATATTTCTTTTCTGTTTCTTTGAAAGGATTTAAATTTTAGTATTGGATTGGTTTTTATTTATTTTTTTTAATCTTCTAATACATAAATTTATTTAATGAAAGAATTCGCATAAAATTAAATATAATTTGAGTATAATATTAAATATATAAATAAATAAAAGATTATAAAAAAATTATTATCAAATATAAAATTATACAATATCAAAAAATGTAATAAATTACATCATCAAATATAATTTAAAAAAAGAAGGACATACTTATAATATATTTTATTTTAAGATGATAAATCTTTTCATTCTAAGTCTTATTAATGTGATTATCTGTTAGAATAGATTTTATTATCATGATCCAAGTAATGATATTACAAAGCCAAGAACTCATGCAAAGATTTCTGATAGTGGTAATTGAATTAATAATCAATTATAGATACTCATTTTGATTTTTACTTTGAGTTTACTTAAGATAAAAAGGAAGTTATAATGTTTATAGAAATTGATAAAATTAGCTATTTTTCATTAGGAATTGGAAAATCTATGTCAGATGCAGATTTGTGGATATTTGAAATTTATGAGAATGTAATTACTGTTAATGATTCTTATTGTGTAAAACATGGAAAACCTCCTACAGATATCTCATCAGGTGGAACTGATGATTTATAACTTATTGGTTATTATTACAATTAGAATGGTAAAACAGGTGTGAAATTTAAGAGATTAGTATCAACAGGTATAGATATATATCTTACTTTAATAGGTGACAAATATGATAAGGATTTAGTGGAAGGAGAAGCAGTGGAATTTATATGGGCTCATGGTAAAACAGAGGCTAATATTACAGTATCAAATCATGGGAATGTAAATAGAGGATCAGTATTATTAAATTTTACTGATGATGGAGGAAGTAATGATGTCATTATAGTCGATGAAGACAATACATATTATATACATAAATGGACAAATTTTATTTGTTGGGGTATAGCAAGTGATTTTGCTATAATAATTGGAAGATATTACAAAACTTGGGGATATAGAACATATCTACATGGATTATTGTTTATATTAATAGTAACAAGTTCAATAACAACAGCTATGATGATGTTAAGTACAGATTGGAGTGTTTTAGAATGGAATAAATTTAAAGAACAATCAATTAAAAATTTATTCCATATAATCATTTTTATGATAGTAACCATATTTATGATTGCATAAAGTATAGGTGGAATTCTCTATAATTATATGTTAACTTCATTAAAGATTAATCAAAAGGTATCATTAAAACCTTCAATTCATGCTATTCTAGGCAATGTTGTATATACATTAGGCAAATTATAAATCATAGCAGGACTTTTTATGGATAATGATATTAGACTAATGTTAATCTTAGGTTTTGTTTTCACTACTCGTTTTATATTAGAAGTTCTATATCGTAAAGGTAGTTTGGTTAATTTAGTTATGACTGGAAGAAGAGAGTAACATTCTAACAAAGTATATGAAGATGGTTAAAATCCTTTATTGGATATCAATAATAGTGAATAAGATGATAGTTTTGAAAAGAAATCATCAAAATTATGGTGTATATATAAAAATTAAGTTGTTGATTTATCATAAATGATTCATCCAGGTGGTAATTACATTTGGAAACTCATTTAAGGTCAAGATGTTACTCGATATATTTTAGGAGCTTACACTCTAGATTCACTCAATATTTAACCTTATAAACATAGTATTTATACACTTAAAATATTGGAATAATATATTACTGGAATATAAATTAATTAAGATTTAGAATTCTTTATTAATAAAGATAATCATAGAGTAATTAAATAATTAAATGAAACATGGAAATTAAATACTATTAGTCCATATACTGATTAAATTGCTTACTTTGGATTTGTAAATGAAAAATATCAATTCAAAAATACTCTATCTGGTCTATAAACATTTGGACTATACTTTGTTATAAAATCTATAGAAAATACTTCTATATCTACTAGATAATATACTATGGTTTTAAGTATGAGTTAACAAAGGATTAAATATAGAAAAGATTTATCTGAAATCTTTAAAAAAATACTCTCTTTGTAAACAATACAAAAGGAAATTCCAAAAGAAGAAGAATACTTATCTGAATTACCTTTAATAATTAAGAGATATCAATCAAAAAATGGATTTTCATCTTTTATTCATGATGACAATCGTAATGGATCATATTCAATAGAAGGTCCTTATGGTAATAATATTTTTATTGAAAATGGAAATCATATTGTGTTTATTGCAGGTGGTACTGGATTATTCCCTTTCTTAGATATTCTTGAATATCAACTCAAATTGACCTATCATAATATATTAATAAAATAATTTGGTTAAGATGCTATTTAAATAATGAATCCAGGAATAATTAAGAATTTCAAGATTACTCTATTTTTAGCTATTAATTCAGCAGATGATTTGGTATTTATTATATATATTATTATTAGATTGGTAAAGATATTTATTTTACTTTGTTATCATTATAATCTTAATTGGATACACCAAATTTCAAAATGGTTGTGAAAGGAAACTTTAAATTAAAAGAATGTGAAATTATCACTTAAAGATTCAATACTTAAGTTTTCAAAACATTCATTAATGATTTGAATTCTGTTTCCAATTTCTTTATTTGTGGTCCACCTATTATGAATTTCACAACAGAAAAAATATTAAGAGATGAAGGAATTAATAATATAATTGTTCTTTGATTATTTTAAATTTAGATATATATTTACAACCTTCATTATTTTATGTACAATTTTTAATAACAAGAGATACTAAATTTACTAACACATACACAAATTAATAAGAAGAATATAGACCATTCAATTGGTTATTCTATTTATATATAATATATTTACATGATAATATTATTGATATAATTGTAGATATCATTCCTCCACAACATTATAAAAAATTAAAGAGTCCAAAATATTAGATTTAATCATTCCAATCCTATGCAATTATAGCCAATAATGTAGATGTAGTTCCACAATCAACTAATCCCCAAAGAATAGCAATTAAAAAACATATACCATATTTCTATTCATAAGTATTAATTATAGCCAATAATAATGCTATGGATATTAAATGAAATTGCAATAATTAACTTGTATATTTTGGTGTGTAAGTATTAAATACACCTATAAATATCTATATATATAATATTAATATTATTACTCCTCCTAAGACTTCACAACATCCTAAAACTGTCATAACTAATAAAGTATATTTAGTAATCTCTTCATCACTAAGTAATTATGTATCAATAGAATTTTCTATAATATAATGCATAACATTCCATTGAAAACTCAAAAGACAACCAGTAATCATCATCGGAAAGATAAAGCATTTGACTCTAAATTCTTTCATTGTTAAAATGACAGAAATTGGATTTAATTTATTCATTTCCTCATTGTTAGAGATTTCTTTGTCATCTTCTTAAAGTTAAACAATGCTTTAAGTATATTATTTTGGTTATGAAACAAAAAGAAAAGATAATGAACCAAAAGTTGCTACAGCCACCATCAAACAATAAAAATAGAATTACTTTATTTGAACAATAATAAATGCTGAATATAAGCTCCCTATAACTTATGATATTTATAGAACTGCCCATGCAATTCCATAATATAATCCAGCTTTTTTTGATTATTTACTCAATTATGCTACATAATCATTTTATGTAATAAACAAACCAGATGATGTAAATCCACTTATGGCTGATGAAATAATTGTTATTAAATAGATCCAGAAACTATTACACATTCCACCTTCTTTATCTGCACAATGACAAACTAATAAACCAGATATCAAAAATAGTAAATATCCTAGAGAATGAATAAAAAAACTATGTCTATATTGCAATTTTCTAATGTATAAAATACCTAAAATATTAATATTTTTATTTACATACAAAGTTTCCAATCATTCCAAATAAGAAGATAGTGAAAATTGAAATGTTACCCAAATAATCATAGCCTTTTTACTCAAAGATCTGGGTCATTACATTGAGACCAGTAGATGTTGCTGATAAATATATAGCAAACACTAAGCTCATATAAATTAAACTACAGAGCATGTCAAATTTAATAATAATCACATTTATTTATATTTATTTTATTATAACATCATAATCATATTCTTTGATCATATTAAATCATCAATAGTTTAGCATCCATCATCATTTCCTTATATTAAATACATCAATTCCCTCTCTTTTGATTTAAATAGATAATCTAAACGACTTCTATTTTCTTATTGTTGATTCTTCTTCAATACTTTTATCGCTTAACTTAATGATATTTATTTAGACCTTTTTAGATTTTACTTCATCTTAAAACAATATTATTACATTTCTCATAAGCATTTTAGCATTTGGACTTTCAAGACTCAATTAATCAAACAATTACTTTTAATTGTCTGATTCTCTTTATTTACAATACATTTTAGATAATCTACCTAAATATATTTTTCCTTATATTTTATATTTCTTCTCTTTTTTCATTTGAATTGTATCAAATGGTGGAGGAGATAAATTTAAATTAGCTAAAATAGGAGGTAATTCTTTCCTTTATCTACTATGATGACTCTACAAAATCTTTTGAGGTGATTTAATTTATTCTTTCTTATCTTCAGGTACATAAGTTGGATTTTACAAAACTAATTGTTCTTAATAACTTTTATTCAAAACCAATTTAGAAAGAGTTTTATTGTACTTTTTACATTCAATAGATTAGGATTTATGCACTAACGACTTTGATGTTTCACTTTATGGTAACTCAATTAATGGTTTATCTTTCTTGAATTTAGGAAGTCTGGAACTTACTTATCTTAATCCAAACACTCAAATAGTAGTGGCATCAAATACTTTCCAATTTATTTGGATTTTAAATAAACAGATATCCTAATTTAATTTTAGTGTCAGTTCTCGCTGAGATGAATTCTGCTGGTTCTAAAATACTCTCTTGTGAAATCATTCTCCTTGTTGTTTAAGATTCCATTTCAATTATACTAAAAATTAAATTAAAAATCTAATATTGTAAATATAATATACATAGTAATATAAGTCATCTAAAAAGTTTAATAAAAAAATCTAAAGTTATCATATTAAAACAATAAACACTAATAGATTAATATTATTCAAATAAAAGCAAATGATAAATTAACTTAACTTAAATAAAATTAATTAAAAACTAAAATGAAGAACTTAATAAAAATATTGATTAAAATGATAATGAAATAATATAATATTTTCTTCATTATATTTCAATTTTGATCAATAAAACAAGTGGAATTAAAAGAAAAAGAATATAAAATATATGAAAAAAGGAATTAGTTTTTGATAAACTATTACTATAATCTTCAAATTATTGATCAAAGGCAAAATGTAGAATTATATTTAACTTTAATAATAATAATTTATATACAAATTTAATATACTAAAATACACTTACTAAGTATTCAAAAATCTACTTAACTTATAAGTAAAAATTCCAGAAAGAAAGAGAATCACCATTAAATAAGGGACTCCTAAAATTTATTAGAATTTATTAACTAAAAATATATATTTATAAAAATATTTATATAATTATATAATCTATAACGTCATAAGGAAATCTTGTCATACTTTAAACAATATAATCTTTATATTTCAACTATTGAGAAAAAGATCTTTCAATAATTATCTCTTCAAGATGAAGACGCAATTTATATGAAATATAAATTTGGCCATAATTAAAACCTCCTAATTAAATTCATTAATTCCTATTGAATTTTCTATGTTCATGTTGCTATTATTATATATTTAATTCCAACATTTGATAAGTTTAAATTCCAATATAATTGATGATTCTAAATTTAGATCCTTCATTAAAATTCAGTTTGCTTGCTTATGTATAACAAATGTTTAGAAGTTATTACAAACATAATGTGAATCCAAATTTAGAGTTTCGAGAAATTAATCTAATATGTAAGATTTTGACTTAATAATAAAATGGGTAATATAATTCTCACATTTAAGAAACCATGAATATATAGACATAATAATTTCTTAAGAAATATTTACTAATAAAAGATTTAATATTGTCATTTTTTTTCAAACCTTAGATATTTATCCATTTTCTACTATTTACAGGAATGAGGTTAAAATTTTGTTATAGGAGTTCCTTTGTTTTTTAATATCCCCTTCTTGAATAAGGATTTTGCACTCACATTTGGACTTTCATCTGTCGCCTTAGGGATAATTATTATTTTGTTTCCAAATTATATTAAATCTCTCATGATTTGAATTCCCTCTTCCTCATTTCTTGGTTTAATCATTATCACTTAGATATTGGAGATTTAGACACCATCCTATGGAGATTCTTTGTTCAATTTTAATTGCTGACTATTAGCTTAGATAGTTGAGTTTATGCTTTGAATTCCAGTTTCTATGGTGACTAATGACAATTATTAAGCTTCCTCGAATTCAGTATCTTTCTATGACTTACATATGTTACCCATGAATTATTAAATTTAATCTTTTTCTTTTATTTACACAACCTATTAAATCAAATAAATTTTAAGATCACAGTATTTAAATTATTCAATTCAAATCAACTTTCAAAATAATCTATTTTTAGATTGTTATTATAGAGATGAAAACAATAACTCTATTATTTGAGAATACTGGATTCACAATATCACAATGATTTTAAAAAGTGAAAAATTTAATTAAAGGGGGGTTATTCTAAAATAGACAGAAAATTTTATTACTGTTAAATTTTTAATTGTCTCACTCCTTCTAGATATGAAGCACTTAATATTTAAATAAATTTTATTTATTGTTAAGCCCCGATTCAAAATAAAGCAAGTCTAAGATATACTCAAAATTTCATTGAAATACTAAACAAATATCTGATTTTCTCAATTCAATCAAAATAATCAATAATTCTATATCCTATTAAGCAAAATAAATTACATATGATGATCAGTATGAAAAATCAACAAAAAATATATTGCTAATTAAATTTTGAGAAAAAGAAAGTAATAAATTTAAGAAGGATAACAATTTAAAAATATGAATCAATATTCATAGAAAATCTTAGAGAAAAGAGAGAGTTTTGCTGAAATTGATGAACAAGTAAACTTAGTTTATGGAGATTAAGTAGAAAATGTAATAGAAAAGTCATAATAACCATAGCTTAAATATATGATGTAATCCTTTTTATTTTATTGAAGGAGCTCAAGCTCATCAAATGATAAGGATGAACCTATATAAAATTCTTCTTTGAAAGAATTTCATTTGAATTCGATTGAGTTAAAAGTAAACAACTAATTTTAGAATGACATAGAAATTTAAAGTTATAAACATACAAACGATAGTGTTTAAGATTTTAATTACAATGAACAAAATAAACCTATGAGAACTAGAAGAAAACTAAATGTTTATAAATCATTAATAGATTTTCAGTCTGAGAATAATTCGTCTTCTTAAAATTAAAGTATTGTTATTTGTAAATGTACAAAATCAAATTGTTTAAAATTATATTGCAAATGTTTTCATTAAAATAAAAAATGTAATGATCTTTGCAATTGTATAGAATGTAAAAATAAGGAAGAAGATTTTGGGATTAGATTTAATGCTTTAGAGAAAATCAAATAAAAATTACATAAATAGAATAATGATGATGATTTATTTGATATATCAAAGATTTGGGGATGTAATTGTTAAAAATCTTAATGTTAAAAGAATTATTGTGAATGTTTTGTAAGAAATTAGAAATGTTCTTCAATTTGCAGATGTAAAAATTGTGCAAATAAAAAAAAATTCCCATTCTAACAATAAAAGAAATAGAAGATCTAAACTTAGGTTTGAATATATAAGAGTATGTAACAGTAAACAACTATGATTTTAGAATTTCTTATTAAATAAATAAATAACTATTATTAAATTTCATATCCATAAGAAATGATATACAAGAATTATTTATTTTTTGTTATAGATAATTTAAAGCTGTTAAATAATAATTTAAATAATAATATGAAACCTTATCAGACTCCAAATTCTGGTCATTCTCGTTAAGGAAGTTTAAGAGTGTAAAGACAACCATTAGCTGTAATAAACAATTGTCCTGAATTTTCATAATGTGCAAATTACTTGCAATAGAAAGTTTAAGGATTAGAGTAGAGAGTTAAGAATCTTAATAGTTAACATGCAGATAGAACAGAAAATAGATCTACTACTGCATAAAAAAATGAAACATCTCTATCACCATTTGTTAGATAATAAAAACCATGCAGTTCAAATTAAAAAGTGGATTCTTAGAGTTATTATGAAACTATCATTAACAAACGATTAGAAAACATTAGTAAAATAGATTAATCTCCTGTACATATCAAAACTGATAATACAGTGGCTTAATAAGATAAATATTCAATACATAGTTAATTTTCTAATTTAGGTCCATCATCTGGTAAATTGCATTCTAACAGTATTATAAGAATTTAATAATTGACTAAGAAATTAAGAAAGTTTAAAATGATCAAAGATTAAAATTAAGATGAATGTGCTCCATCTTTGGCTAAAATTAAATGTTTTTGTTAAGAATATTATAATGATTGTTTTGATTTCTATAGATGTACAGATTTGATTGCTTTAAAATATTTTATTTATTTGCTTGTTTAAGAAATCAATACTCTATATAGTTAGGATGCTTTTAAGATGGCAGACAATTCAATATAATATTAATAATAGATTGAAATTCTTAAAGAATAATTAGACAACTAAAAGAGTGATTAAGTAAGTTTCTAAAATTAATTGAAATTATAAAAAATGGTTGTAGATACATAAAAATTAATATAAGATATTATTAATGTATTATAAACTAAACATAATTAAAGTACATTAATCAATTAAGTAGAAGTATTGAATAATTAAATGAAAAATATCAAAGAAAATATGTCTACAAATTAAATTTAACATCAAAATGCTACTTCATTTGGATAATAATTAGCAAAATGTGGAATTGATATTAATTATCAATAGAAAGTAACTAATGATACATCAGCTGTAAATTAATCTAATTTTAAAACTTAAACAGTAGATGAAAGAAATTAAACTTAATTCAGTTCAAAATCAAAGTCTCCTTATAGTAGAAATCAAAAAAAAATTAATTTTGATATAGAATAATAATGTGATGTGAATAAAAAATTATTTGATGAATAAGTGATAACAAATAGATAATTGATGGAAAAACTATTCAAATTATAAACTGAAAAGTAATAGAATGATTAGATATTAAAGTAAGTGTAAGAAGAATTAAAATAAAGAAATTAAATTATTATAGATTTAGAAAATAATATAGAGAAAGAGAATACATTACTTAATTAAATGAATGAAAATCTACAGGAAACAATTTAATAAAATAAAGAATTATAAAAAGAAAATAATAATTACAAAGAAAGCATTGATCAATATACGTAGATAGAATAAAAATATTATGATTTATTATAAGAAAACAATAAGTAATTTTAATAATTGAATTAAGTATTAAAAGAAAATGGATGTCTATAGAAAGTTCAATAATAAATAGAAGTATTATTATAAATTTATTAAAGGCTGAATGCAAAGGATATTAATAATAAATTTTAAAATTATAAGAAAAATGTTAAGCTTAATATGCTCAATTGTAAGATCAAACTGATGCCAAGTTTCTATAATAATAAATTAATGAATTATTATTATAATAATAAGAACAAAGCAAAATAATAGTAATCAATTTTTATATAAAATAGACTTTGATTACTGATGAAGCCTTATATCTAGGACAGATGACTCTTTATGCTTGTGATATATTATCTAGATAATCAACAGATGGTATTCCAACAACTCTTGTTATGTTGCAGAAAGATTTAAATGGAAAGAGAAGTACAATTTAATAGAAAATGAATATTCTGTAATAATTTGGAAACAATATGAAAAATCAACATTTGATTGCTCATAGTAATTCTAGTTAATTTAATGATAATGTGGATTTACTGGAAAATCTACATAGTGAAGCTTCATCGATTAGATAGAAGAATGTAAGTTCTTATGAGGAGACTGCAAGTACAATACATAATAATAATATTTAATCAAATGATTTAATGGTGATGTTATTAGTTTAATGCAATACTTTAGAGAAAATGATGGAACTTTGATTTTTTTCTTGATAATTCAATTTTTATTATTATTTTATCATGTTAACATTATTATGGATTTTAATTGTGCAATTAGTAAATGCTTAGTATTGTGAGTGTAATTAACAATATACAGATTTGTGTTTGATAAATAAAAATTGCTCATTGGTTATATCTCATTTAAATAACACATCAAATTAGATAGATGTACTTTAAATAGAGAATTGCAATGTGACGATATGTCTAGAAAAATTAGTGAATAAAGCAATATTGTAATTCAATTAATTAACAATTATCAATGCAAATATCATATAAAATGACACTTGTTATTTCTTATTATCTCAATAAGTAATCTTATAGGGAAATTATACAACTATTTAATCTTCAAATATTTTATTTTATGGAAATGTAAAACTTTAATTCATTATGACTTATAATATGACTATAAACAATACAAACATGTTATCAAATACTATAAGTATTTGTACAGATTACTTATAGATTAATAATTCAACTCTTAGAGCTTCAATGTAAAATAGATCATAATGTTCATGCTTAAATTATCAAAATTGTTCAAATTAGGTCTATATTAAAAGCATTTATAGTTTTGTAGGTTATATTACTCAAAATTATATAAATTTATCTACTACATATATTGAAGATTAATGGTTATAATAGTTTTAATGTAATTTTTTTAATCCTTAGAATCTCACCTATTTTACTTTATTAGTCTCAGTCAAAAATCAATTTAATTTGTCATAACATTCAAAAATGAAAGGTTTTTATATTGGAGTGTATTCATATGGTTTAGCAATTGATTAAACTAGTTAAATTTCATCTGATGGAATGGGATATAGTACAAATGAAGGATTTGGTTGTGGATACACAGATAAAATAATAGGATTAAGATAACAATGTGGAGGTACTGGTGGAAGTCATGGAGGAATGGGAGGATTCTCAATAAGTCCAAAACCAAATTATAATTAATTGTGTTTACAATTATAGAGTAAATAAATTTATGATTATTCTTTCAATCCTGTATTACCAGGAAGTGGTGGAGGTGGAGTTACATATGTAGATTAAATTTAAAGAATTGAAATTTAAGGGTAGGGAGGAGGAGTTATACATTTAGAAGTATTAAATTTATAAAATAGTGGAATAATAAGTTCAAATGGAACATCTTATATTGAGGAACCATATTTTGGAAGTGGTAGTGGTGGATCAATATAGATAAGAATAATTTATTTCAGTGGATAAGGATTAGTAACTGCTAATGGTGGTGGTTCTTAATCTGCTGATGATTTTGATACATATTAATTTGCTAGATAAAAGTTTTATTAGTCTTATCAAGTATATGGTGGTTTTGGAGGAGGTGGAAGAATTAGATTGTTCTTTTTCAATATCACAGAAATGATTAATAGTACATATTATTAAATTTGTAATAATACAATACAAACTAATCCTGGTGGTTTGTCAATACAATAAAAAAGTATCCTTAATATATCAAATCAAAGTTTAATTAAATTTTAAGGATCCATCATTCCTACAGGATGTCCTTAAGGTTCATAAGGTAATTTTTGTTAGCAATGTGGAAATGGTTTCTATAAAATGCTTTTTGGACAAGCACCTTGTTAACCATGTTTTAATACTATAAATTAAAATACAAGTTATTATTCTGATGGTGAAAAAAATACACCTTTTTGTAAAGTTGAATGTTATGATGGTAAATAACCAAAAGATTATTAATGTTTAATTGGATTGGCAGAGTTCTCATAAACATTAGGTGGATAGAATGTTATTTTTGCTCTATTTATTATTATCATGTTATTATTGATTAATATTGCTATTGTTTGGGTGAGTAGAGATAAGAATAAGAAGAAATCAAGATAATTTTATGGTTCTTATGATGATTCAAGTCTTTAATAAATGTCTAATTCTTTATCTGAATTAAATAACAAAACATATTTAATTAGTTAGGATCTTCATTTTCATGTAAGAAGAATATACCTTGCTGGATGTAATACTTATCAAAATCCATGGTAGATTTATTAAGAAACTTTAGTAGATGGTGATCTTAATCAAGGAGACAATTAAAGATTATAAATATTATTTGAAACATTCAATTAAAAAGCATTATTTACTATATTTGAGAAATATACATTGATATTTTTCAAATTTTATTATTATCCTCTTTATGTTTGGATTCTTTAATTGATTTAAGCAAATAAATTTAATAATTTATCAAAATTATTTGTTTAATAAGAATATCTTTATAATGAATTAGATCCTGATAGAGATAAAATAAAACTTAAATTTTCATGTTCTAAAGATAAAACTTTAGCATTTATTGATAGACTTAATTTAGCTTTGAAAATAGTTGAATAGAGTAATACTTTAGAATTACCAATCTATTTAGTTTTAAGTGGTTATGGCACTTTCTCTTATCCATTTTAAATCAATATTCATGATGCTCTCATTAAAAGATTATGGTAATAATTTAGTTTTAATACTAATGAAGAAAGTGTTAATCTCTTTGAAAAATTTGTTACTGAATTTAATTATTATGCAGTAAAGATAGATTTTAGATAATCTTAATCTTCATTTACTAAAAGATTTCTTGATCTATTAAATTACACAAATTAATATAATTATGAAATCTTTCGATTACATCATGCTATCTAAGCTGATATTTGTATTCATATAATAGCAATTTAGCCATCTGCATAAAGTTAAGTATATTAACTTGGAAATGCAAATTAAAGAGAACTAGAATTTCTACTAAAATAAATACATATTATGAAGAATTTACCTTAAGAATTCACTATAAAATTATCTATAATATTCAATAATTATAATAAAGACAGAGTTGTTAATTTAGAATCATTTAATAATTTAGCCTATAATATTAATGAATAATTATAAATAATTATTAATAAGGATAAAGATGACTTAAGAAATTAAATTTAATTGGAAAAGAAAAAGATGCAATCAAAAATAAATTGTTTTAAAATAGATGGAATGAAATAATATAAACTTAAAGGAATATAAGTAATGAAAAGATTCTTTACATGGCTTTTTAGTTAAATAACTCGATATCGAGATAGTAGAGTTAATTAATAATTCCTTATTGCTGGTATATGCATAGTACTTGCAATATAATGGGTAATATATTTTAATTTATTAGAAAGTGTTTTGTAATTGCCTATCCTGTTTTATTATTTATACTATTAGATATAGATAAGGATAAAATATTTTTAGCTGAATTAATTACTTAAATTTTAATATTTCCTTTAGCATAAATGATAAGTTTAGTTATTCTATCTGCTTGGGTAAAAATTATATAAATATATTAGCTTTTAAAATCAAGAAGAAATTATGGTAAAATGTATCTTTTATTTAATTTATGTGGTTTGGCTAGTTCATTGATTGAATTTATTTTTGGATGTTATGATCTATTCAATTTCAAATCTAGTGCTGAATTTAATTTGTTTAAATTATTTCCTATTTTTTTCATTATGCTTTCATCACATTTAGTTTGTTTATAGATGAACTTTAATGAACTCAACAAAACTAAATATTTTGAAATTTGATTTATTTCTATTTATAATTATTTAAAAATAATAAATATTCTAATGATTTACATTTGTTTTTATGATGTCAATAATTATAAAGTAGTTTCTATTTATAAAATAATACTTCTTGTAAACTTATCCAAATAACTATTAATTACTAAATTAATTATTGATATATTTTAAATAAAGATTAAATTAATAAATGAATAAATACACCTTAAAGTTCAGAGATAAATAAATTGAAGAATAGTTTTAAAACGTACATCAAATTCCAACAAGATAAAAACATATAAAACTTATATCAGCATTTTTCTTAGCACTTTAAATATTCAAACTTATAGCAAGTATTTTACAGCATTAGAAAGAACAAATGTATATTTTAATCTTTTTAATTTGTGCTACATTAATATTGTGTTTTGCTAAGATTACTTCTAGCTTCTCTTCAAATATGGCTCTTTGTTTTATTAATTTATCATTTACTTTTTATACTGTTTATTATGATCCAAAAGATGAAATCACTAACTCCTATTATAGAGGAGCTAATCAAATGGTTTTCAATATTATTAACATATTATTAACTGATTTTTTAGAATCAGCTTTTATAACTATGATAATATTTGCTACTAGATCAATACATGTAATGCTTTATGGTGATAAACCAGATATCTCTTATTTTGTACTTGGATTTATTATAAATATGTCATTTCTATATATTATATATACTTATCGAAGTGCTATGCGTTCATAATATATTCTATCTCGTACAGATAAATAATGGGAGAATATTCTTAAATAAATTATTCAAGATGAACAGTTTATATTAATAAATTTTGATGAAGAAAAATTAAAGTTTTCTAAAATATTATCAAACTTTTTTAAAGAAGAAGAAAGAAATGATTAAATTGTAGATTTTTTAAGAAATTCATATATTAATTAAGAGACCTTTGAAATTTATTTATTTAATTAAATAAAATTATTTCTAACTAATTATCATGAAGTTTTTAATAAAATAATCTTATTAAAATATGAAAAATATCATTTTTCAGTCACTTATTCAATATTTTAAGGTTCAAAACCAACTATTTTGATTTAATTAGTAAAAAGTTAGTATAATAAAGAAATATAAAGTTTGATCATCAATACCTTAATCAATTTAAAACTACTAACTAATTTAATTAGAATTATAAATGGTAATTAAAATTACAGTAAAGATAAATTTCATATAATATCTACAAAACTTATATATTAATATTTCTAAGCTAAATTACATTCTAAAACATTTTCTTTCAAACAATGCAATATAAAAAATATAATTTAAGAATTAAAATATTATTTTTATCCAAATAGTCTTGTAAGATTATTAGAAAATACTGTTCACATTAAAACAATACCATGTATTTTAAAGCTTCTTTTATTAATCATTATTGAAAGTTCAAATAGTAATGTAATTTTCATAAAAACACTTAATATTAGAGGGTAAGATAATTGTCTAAAGATTCATAGTAAATTTAATATTGAAAAATTCTAAGTCAGATATCTATAATTTGAATATTTTCTTTAAGCTATTGTTAAATGTATATCAAGTAATGAAAAATGTACTATTAATTTATTATTTAGAAATTGAATTTGAATTATATTAAGAATCTTTTCTACCTTATTGTAAGCCAATGTTCTTAAAATGTTGAAATAGGAATTGATTGATTTTCTGTTTAATTTAACAATTTTCTTTATTTTCTTGTGTGATTTTAATAATTAATATGAATATGAATTATATATATTATTAAAATTAATGAAATCGTTTAAAGTTTCAAGTGGAATAATGGATATCATTAAAAATTAATCAAAAGATGTTAAATCTTCTTAAATGATAGTTGACAAAGTTAATGAGATTGTATATTTTAATATAAGATATAGCATAGTGGAATTGATGAAAATAATCTAAAATTAGTTAATTAACATCTTATGAACCATTTTCAATTAAAGCCAATTGTTAGTCCAATAGAATAACCAAATAATCCATTGTAAAAAATACGAAATCGTTCTAAAACTAAATTTTAATCATTATTACATTCTTAAATTAGTTAAGAAGTTGAGTCAGTTCAAAATTCATATTAATATACAGAACTACTTAGTGAGAAGGATAAGGAAATAAATTATTATAAGAATCATATCTAATAATTAACAGAAGAATTGTAAAAATTAACTGAATTGTTTGAAACAGTTAGAAATGAAAATTAATCTCTTAAAAATTAAGTTGATTAAAGTTAAAATTATCAATTAATCATATCTAATTAATAGAAATAGATTTTGAAATTACAATAAGATAATGTTGAATTAGAAATGATTTTGAAGAACACATTATTACAATAAGAAAGATAAAAATTTTAATCATAATCTTCAAAATAATCAATAATGATTAAAAAAAATTCATTAAATGGATAAAAATTAAAGTTATTTAATAATAATTTAAGTTTGAGTGAATAAATGAATAATTCAAATATGAGTACAAGTTTTATATCTTGTCCAGATAATTATAATTAAAAATAGAAAAGTCATAGAGTTAATGATAGAGTAAAAACTAATTAAACAGTTCCTACTCTTCCTGATTCTAAAATATATTCAAATGATCAATATTATATATAAAAATAAGGAAAAGAAAATATCAAGATGAGATATTGATAATAAATTATTTTTTTTTTGTTATCTATTAAAATTCAAATCATAAAAGTAGTTGTGATATTTGAGTAAAGTTCATAAAGTTTCTAAATTTCTAAACCTATTGGTGTTTTTAATATAATTTTTTCATTTTAAATTTACTTTAATTAAAATTGAAAATAAAAAGGGAATGGTTAAGGATTTATTATATCCTTAATTAAAATTTCCAATTTAATATCCAAATTATGTATTATAAGAAATCTATCAAACTTAACTCCTAAAATAGAATTGGTTTCCAATTAACATTTAAATTATCTAAGTAAATAATAATATAAACTTTTATAAGATGTCTTTTGTTGCATTTGGAATTTCAATTTTAAAATTTTGAAGTCCATAAAATTAATTCTATTATAATGATTCCATTAATAATAATTCTGCAATATATTGGAATTACTATTCTACTTTTTTTATAGCTTATAAATTCTTATCATGTTATTTAATTATCCCTTCAATTTCCTATTTCACAACTCCAATGGTTGTATATATTTCTTAAATCCAAGTTTGTTCTTTCTCTTATTTATAAATCTTATCTGGAATCAATTATTTAACTATATGAATAGGTAAAGATTATTTAGTAAATGTCTAATTTATTTAAATTATTTTTACAAGTTTGAAATGTTCATAATATTTAATAATTAAATAGTAAATGGAATATACACAATATTATGAAAAAGTGAGCTTATAGTTCATATTCTTAATATTATCAAATGCTTAATGACTTATTAAATTAAGTCTTACTAAATCTGATTAATAGTCTTTTTATTCATATTTTGGAGGTAAATATAAGTATTTTTTGAGTAATAATTTAGTATCACTTTTTTATCGTTCTTTAATTATAAATGATATCCTTGAGATAATACCTTCTTAATATGATTTATTAAATTAAATTTATGGAATGCAATCTTCATCATCAAGTATTCTAATATCTTAACCTTAAATTAAAAAAAATTTAAAATCTTCATAACTTTTTAATTTAATGACTTCAGCAGCCATTTAAATTAGATCAGCTACTCTTAATTCAGGACTGGTTGGTAAATATATATAAAATTCATTTAAAAACATAATCTAAATGTATAGAAGTATATATATATTACTTTAATATTTATAGTTTGATTACTAACTTTTAAACTTTTATGATGCATAGTTTATCTGATTGTATTTGAATTTCTCACAAATTTCAAGGTCTCACTAAGTGAAATATCATCTGAATTAAATGAAGAGTATTTCATTGATTATCTTAAACTTTCTCTTTCTAATAATATCTAATTAGGACAAGATGTAATTGTTTCATAGAATGAAGGTGGTAATTCTAAATATTTTAATACTTAATCTGGATTTTATTTGATAAGTGGAGAATTAAGAACAGCTTCAAGGAAATTTTCAATAATGATTTTTCTAGCTTCAATTAACTATGTTTTTTTATTGCTTGCCCATTAATTCTTACTTAAATGTGGAATTGAAATTTCATGGAATTATTTTCTTAACATTTATTCCAATTTTATTAAACTACTGTATCTGGTTAATAAAGTTAAATTTTAAGCTCCAGTAGATATCTATTTTGAATTCTATATTTACAATCATCACATAAACAGTATATGATTTAAGAAGTGACTTTCTTAATTCTGTACCCTTGGCAAATACCTATATTGGTTAGTCATCATATTATTAAACAATTTCTAATTTATTATTCTTCATTTTAATATTATTAATTAAAGATTCAAATAAATTTAGTAACTTTTATTTTTGTTCAAAATCTTAACAAATAAATGTAATGGATTATTCCTAAGAGGAGACTGTAAATAAGAATTTACAATATTAAGTTTCAGGTTTATTTTTACAATAAGATTTCTCATTAAGGTAAATATATTCATACAATTTTTCATGTTATTTAACTAAAGCATTTTGATTTCTTTAAGTTAGGATTATCATGTCATTACATATATATACTATAACTGATTTCTATTATTTTGATACAAGTACATTAATTGTTTCACTTTGAATATATCTTCTTGTAGATTCTACAATAGATACATTAATAGAATCAAAAAATAATTTTTACAATTCAAATAACATTTAATTTTTAAGAACACTTAAATACATTATTATATATTTTACTTATCCATCAAAATATCAATTTTATAATTCACTTCAATGAATTTATTTAAACTTTCTTATAATGAATCATAATCTGGATGAGATTGCCAAGTATGTTTGATCAAATCTTTAAGTAAAAGTACATATTTTGGTAATCTTTAAACTGGTTTTATCAGATAGGATTCTAGATTACCACCTTTAAATATATC